GAAGAAAAGAGGAAGAGGAAAATTTTTTGAGTCAAATGCTTCTTACATCGTTTGGTATTGAAGAAATGAAAAGAGTTGTACTTGTCAAAAGAAATACAAAGAATGGCGAAAGAATTTTATTTTCAAGAAGAAAAGAAAGAAGAGGAGAGGAAAATTTTTGGATCGAGTTCGTCTCGTTATTTTTTTTTTTTTTTACGGGTTATTAATAAAATGAATAATAATAAACATTTATGTTCAGCGAGGAGAGAATAAGGACAGCTTAACGCATCGACTTGCGAGCATATTGTTATAGAGAATTAATTAATCGATTGACGAGTTATTTTTATCTTTTTTTCGGTGTCCTAGTTATCATCGCCCCGATTATAAGTCGCCTCTCATTGAGAGAAAATCTCAGCTTATCGTCCATTCTGAAATGTTACAAACGTGTCGCAAATGATCCTCCCGCGTTAGAAGAACGTTTAAGCTACGACGAGAAATAATCGTGCAATGAATAGCGAAGCAGACGCCGTATACATCGTCATTAACTGTTTCGAAGTCTTTTATGTATCGGAGTGGAAGCTTCTTTGAGAAAGAGCTGCATACTACAATCTTGAATTTTCAAGGCAACTTTCTTTCTTTGTAATTTGTCGTTGTTATTTGCTTATTAATTTCTTTTTGAAGAAAGAACCTCAAGAAGTTATTGCATTTCAATCTTTTTCAATGTTTTCTGGACTGCAAGAAAACTGTTTATCTATCAGTTATTGATAATAAAAATATTTTTCTAAGTGTATAGTAATATATATATATATATATAATAATATAATATATTGTATTAATATAAACATTTATTATGTAACCAATAACAGAACTGGTAACATAATGCACGTGAAAGACAATTTAAGAATTCACAAAAATTAAATTAAAGATTTGTCATTTATTTAATTAATAATTTGCTTGAATATAATGTAAATTATACGAGATTTTTATCAGATTCATTTTTATGAAATGAAATTTCACTCCCGACAACCTTTAAGATTCAATCGCAGCGAATATTAAAGAAGAACTGTTACCTTTCAGATTCCTCCATGGAGAGTTCCGGTGGCGACAAGCAAAACGAGTCGGACGAGTGTGATGTGACTGCCAATAATCAGCGTCAGAACAAAATGACGGGCCAGGAGGACAGTAACGTGAAGATAAGTAAGGATTTGGAGGAGCAAGAGGCGTTGAAGAATCGGAAGAATTTGGAGAACGTCAGCCAGAATGACGAGGCATCGAACAAATTGTCGAAGGTTGTGTCCCAGGACGACGAGGACGAGGACGATCGCGACGAGGACGAGTGTAAAGGCTCCGACGAGGACGAGCTGAAAGAAGAGAAAACCGATGGGAAGAAGGACGAGAAATCGTCCAGCAGTACAACGTCTACCAGCACCTCTGACGACGAGTCTGAAACCAGTTCAGACGATAAAACCGAGGCATCGAAAACCGAACAGACGAAGACGGTCACCTCAGAGGCCAAGAAAGAAGATCAAACGTCGAAGAACGACGACACCACTGACGACAGCGACATCGAGGATGATTTGATTTCAGCTATCAACTACAACACCATCACCTCCTTAGCTGCGCTTAAGGATATGCTGCAGTCCTCTGGAGAGGATTCGGACGGCGTGGACAGCTTTTTTCATCATTACTTCCTCTCTCACGTGAACAGGTTACCGTCGAGGAATCAGACGCATAGTCCTTACCCATGGGGTAGACGATTGTCGGAATGCAGGGAAGAGGATGAATACGAAAACGAGGATGGTAAGAAGGACACGTAATATTATTATCTATAATAGATGAGACTGGATAGTTTGATAGTTTAGCAGAAAACTTTTGCGCTCCTAATTTTCAAGAAGATAGAGCCTGAACGTGTGAAATTAATGAATTATGAATTTAACCTCTTGCGCTGAGAGAACTTTTTGTCCCAAAATTGTAACAATTTTCTCAGTTTTAAGTATATTTAAGTAAAACGAAATAGGCAAAACAAATGATTGAAATTTATTTACTTCTCAATAATTTCTATCCAGTAATCATACCGACGTGTTCAAAAAGAAAGCGACGAATCATTTGTGTACGGTTTGGTCACTCGTTATGGTCCGCAATCAATTGCCAGCGCAAGCGGTCAATGAACCTAACATACGCGTGCTTAATTTTTCGAATATAATTTTCTCGGGAAAGTATTGTTCTACATTTTCAACTTACTTTCGCACGTAGAATAATCTCGTGCCCGTTATTTCGTTCTATCGAGTCCAAGTTCAAGTATATTTGACGGATTTTTAAACTCGATTTTGATCGGGAATGAAGCACAGTAAAATTGTAAAAGGACTTTTATATTTTGTTAATGTGTTCTAAATTTCATTTGCAGAATATCTAATAATTATCTATCTGTTCTCTGTTACATAAAGAGAAAATGATGTCAGATTAAAAAAAAAAAAAAAAAAAAAAAAAAAAGAAAATAGCCAGCAATCGCGATAACTTTCGGAAGGAGTATGATTTAATTTTGAAATAGCCGAGATAGCGGCAAGCGTTGACTTGCCAGGGAAATCAACCAACAAATTGTAAATTTATACTTGTTGCTCACGTCAATGCTGGGAGTTGCGTTAAAAGTCTTTCCAAAAGACCTTCCTCGAATTATTAAATTTTTATTTTTCGGTAGAACAGCTCTCGAACATCACCGATCTCAAAGCAAACCGAGTTAACTTTCGCAACCTTGAAGTCACTGCACAGGCTTCCATGTTCCCGACATTTTTGTTTTTTTTTTTCTTTTTTTTTCTTTTTTCGCAGAAGTATTTCGAGCGACGAATACCATGAAAGATATAAATGTTTTACGAGGACAATCTCAGACAAAGTGTTGGTCTTCCCCGCAATTCCCGGTGAACATTTGGACGCTTGTTACTCGAATGTATTTCAAAAAACAAGGATTAGCTGCACAGAGGACGCGTCCGACAACAGAGTTCTGGTCAAATTCGATATAGGATTCGACTCGAAATAAACTTCCGTATTCTCGACAAGCGACGGCCAGATATGCAAAAGGCGAAACGACAGTGACAAATTGGACGCGGCTCGTCGAACGTCGTCGCGAAACGAAATAAAAGATAGCCCCCATCACTCAGGCCCGATGACTTCCTCCTGATGCAAAGACGCGTTCATTCGCACACACAAACGATCCTCGATATATACGATGTATCATCACGCTGGAAATTCAAATTTAAACCCTTCACCTTGCCCGACGAGCAGCGGATGACTATCTTTATCATACTCGTAGGTGTACCCCATCCGGTCAAAGGTATTTCGATAAAACGCTCTGCCGAGCAAAAATCCGACAGGATCCGAACGAGAGAGAACGTGAGACAATAGCATCACGTGGCAGCTCGAAACTTGACCGGCAGCGTGTGACTTAATTCGATTAATTCGGATGCATCGTTCTCGATGGCTATGGTGTCGAATCGCGTGCCGACGAGCGAAGACGCTATGACAATTCGTACACGCTTACGTGTACATACAGCCAGTGAATGACGCAAAACACATGGATTATTTTGTCGCGACGACTTTATTTCGAGATCTGCCGCGTCGCCGGTCGTTTTCGACGGTTCGGAGCTCTCGGAGTTCGCGGATTTCGCAGCTCTCGAAATCCCGGCCTGATCTTCTTGGCACGCGAAAAATCATTATTCTCTCGGATGTGACAGAAGTTTCTACAACACCTGTCCACGAGTCCAGCCGAGCTGGCTAAAGAAAATGTCAATGCCTCTTCCAACACCTGAAACCTCTTCTACCTCCCTCTCGCGTTTGTATTTAAATATATCGTGAAATGATACCGAGAATAGTGATCGTGAAGAGATCGAAAATTTCGTAACGAAAAATTCGTAAACGTTAATCGATGGTAGCGCTATTCGTCGATTTGGGGTAGACATTGCCGATTATCATCGATCGGAAATTTATATAAGAAGAATTCGACAAATTCGACGTCATTCACAGAGGAACAACAAGGATCCGCAGATCTTTAAGAGATAAATCGTGCCAGCGACTTCAGCGCACGTTTCAAAGAGGCGCGACAGAATTGCTGGCCTGAATACAAAATGACTAAACGGGTTAAATAACGTGTACCGCGCTCGCTCGTGTCGTAATATTTTAATGGTACACCCTCCCCTGTTTTCCCCTATCTGGTTTCACTATGCGATTCATTATTCGCGCCGGCTTGTAAAATTACGCGATCCATGCCAGAACGATTCTTGTCGTACGTCTGTCACTTATAAACGCACGAAACTGCGTCACGAAATGATATTCTTCTTGATGAAAATCATCACGCTATTAAAATTTATTTTCTCTTGCTTGCCACCATATGCCGCGAAATATGTGTTTCGTGAAATAGGATCAGGTACTTAGCCTGGACCAGAGTCAAATCGCGTTCTAAGAATATTCGAATTTCTTTCGTTTGACGCCACGGGAGATATTGCATGAAAGAAAGAAGAAATGTTTCTCTCGAAACTTCTTCTGATTGAAAGCCGATCGCTTTCGCCGTGACAACGCCAGATAATCATAGGTGCACGATAGTCGAACGACGCAAAGATCCATGGCCGTATTTTGTCCACGAGACGGAGAATAGCGCAACACATCATCAACCAGAACACTGTATATATAGCACATCAACGTGCATGGTGGCTGCGTAAACATTGTAAAAACCGATTATGCCAGACAGTGGCTCTCACGCGAAGAAATTTATTACCGATATAAATGTATATCGTAAACTTTGAAAGCGTAAGAAAAATCCATTGCAACCGTTTACCATCGATCCTTATACTTCTCAGCACGGCGATGCAAAATTCACTGTCCAGACGGATATCTTTCGTCGAACGAAAGAAAAGAAAAAAGAAAAAAGAAAAAAAAAAAAGAAAGCGAACAATTCACGGGATTGGAACGCATTTTTTGTCGTATTACATTAAGAAGGTATATATGGCGTACGGAGCAAATAGATTGGCTGTGACTCACCGGGGGATAATCGAAGTCCGTGGCGGACGAGACATCCACGATATAGTCGGCTTTACTCTGATTCGCCGGATCCTCCAAAGCAACGGGTGGTGTTAGAGTGCTCATCGCGCTAATTATCGTCTGGAAAAGAAGAAGAAAGCACATCGTCTGGTGAAAACAAAAAAAGTCACGATCATCACGTGATGGCACAGATGGATCGTACAGCGTAACAATGCGTGTAATTCCATAACGATTATGCCAACGACGACGTGTTATCGTGTAGGGGAAAGAAAGTCCATTCTCCGGGGGACCGTGACGCGTACGAGGAATTTCCATCTCGGCCATTATCTATCGTTACACGCGCAGATAATATGTCATTCATAATCCTTAAGTGCCACGGGGCAGCTTGTCTATTACATTCGCCCAACATACGGAAGTGATTGCAAGGTTACAGACAATACGCGTATCTAAACACGGTCTCGAAACGACGAATTGAACCGTTGCGAATTTACGGGCGTATCACGTAACGTTAATGACGAGACGCTGCGCTCGTCAAAACGGATGCATTTACACACACCACGCATACCACCATTTCGACAGATATTACGGAAGATTTTAATCTCTTACTCGACACGCAAGTTAAAAAGTTGCTTCATTTCATGGCCCGAAACGATTTCTCCGATACACCAACGCTTCGTATCGATTTAAACTACAAATCGCTAAATTCCATGAAGAATATACCATGTTGTTTCGACGCGTTTCGCGAATACTACTCCGAAAGGATATTTTCGGAGAAGGAAGCGCGTTGTGTTGTTAGTCGAGACACATGTACGCATAATAGCGGCACCCAGGCATCGAACGACGTTTTAACAAGGCTGTACAAAACCATTATTGAGACCGATCGTATTAGAGAAATAAAGGAATGATGTAGCGTAAGCTGCTTTATCTTCTACTCCACTGTTTCAACGATTGTCCCAAGTCATCAGTCAGACCAGTGTTGATTGCAAAATTCGTATAGCGAAATGAAACTAAGAACGCAACGCGTGGAGGAGAAATCTCGGTCGAGTACCGGGTGCTGTGTCAAGTTTGAAAGGGAGTCGCGTAAACGAATATCCAAAAGGAATTCTTACCAGTATCGCGTCTCTGATGTTCTTTTTGATGTCCTCAATTTTTTGCCGCTTTTCCCTGCACAGAAAAGCGTGAGAAACAAACGATGTGAGTAAAACAGGCATTCGATTCTTCGATCTCTCAGGTTTCAGTATACCAATGCGTACATCGCTGGATACTAAACACCTCCAAATGGATAAAAGAAAAGAAAAAAAAAAAAAACCAATGGCTTGATCACGTTTATATGGAAAAAATATCGAAATATTTATTACGTGCGCATTTTCATTATTATTAATGGTACCCCGGAGTCATTCGGTAATTTTAGATCACGGCATCACGCCAGTTTTAGTATAACGATCTTCATTGGTTTTGGAGACACGCTGGAAATTTCGCGAATCTAATACCGGCGATCGATGCGCGCCCTGTTCTTCGCCGACTTACGACCGACGATAGAAACGATGAATTTTCATATGGGCCTCTCTCGTTTTCATGGTGGATACCTGTGCCAGGCTCCTGTCGTCAATCGGGCAAAGTTCAATCGTTCGAAACTCTCGCGGTATCGTGTACACCATATGCGTACATTACAAATGTACTGACGACAATCGCAATCTAATACAGGTTCCCATTTTTATCGCGCGTTATTACTCTGTCGAAGTTTATCCATCAAGCGTGTATCGTCGCCCGTTGTTTCGCGTCTCGTTCGAATACTTGGAAGTTTGTCGTTTCGTCGTACCTCTCTATCATTCACTTTTCAATTACCTTCGGCAACTTTTCAATTTACGACGGATTAAAAAACTTCGCTCGAATACAAGAACGTTAAAAATAATCGTACGACCGCCTGCTCCAACGATTTTATCGCTACGTTAGGAGTAGTATCGTCTTGTCCCAGCTAACGTTCCAAAAAGCTACTGCGAATGCATAATTCTATTTATTTAAGCACACCCGACTGAAATGTCACAGAGTGGTTGTCACAGGCTCTTATCGAGCGTGTGTAAACGTGGACCAGGCGTGGAAGCTGATCGAGAATGAACAAAATGCAAAAAAGTGCCATAGAGTACAAGAAAAAAGAAGAAGAAAAAAAAACTAAAAATACACGAGGTTATACGATATGTTTCCATAGTAAACAAGCGAAATCTGCATCAAGCGCGTCGAACACGTAATGCTTCTTAGAATCGCATCGCTAGCAAAAAAAAAAAGAGCCTCGTACATTTGACGATAGAAACAATTTTTTACGATTCGTATCGAAATAATTCTTCTTGTGCACGCGTGTGCGATTGATCTTGTCATGAGAATGGCAAAAGAAGGACGAGTAACGTAAAAAAGAAAGGAGAAAAGAGCGAAAAGACGAATGAAAAAGAAATCACAGCAAAGCGTAGTACTAATAAGTCGTGCGTTCGGGTCCGTTATCAGCGCTGGAGGCAGACAGAATTTACGACACATACAAACCGGGCCGAGCCCGTCTGTTTGCACGTCGTTTTCATCCTATCTAGTTGCTCCTGATTTTCCACGTATAGGTGTACCGACATTCTTTTTATGATAACGACTTGTTTCTATCTAACGTGCATCGTTTCACGACTACATTTTTTGATTCATTTGCTCGGTTAACCAGCTAGCGAACAGCCGAACGTGAAAACGGATCGAAACGGCGAGAAAGAAAGGAAAAGTAATCAAAAAACGAACGAAGGATGCAAATATTATTACGATTTACCGAAAATTGAAATATTCTCGGAAAAAATTACGGCGGTAACACCATGAAGATCAAAGCTAGAGTAAACAAAACGAGAGAAAGTCAGAAAATGCGAGGAGTGATGCGCTTGAACCACGTGTTGATATTGCAATCACGCGATGGACCGAATTAGTCGTGGGTTGAATCATTCACAAGTGTGTGTATTAATGGGAAGAAAAAAAAGACTGGAGATTACGTACGGGCGGCGTTACCGTGTTGCGTGAATAATATCGAATGTCGGATTGGCTTAAAACGCCTGTAACGAGGCAACGAAACTTACGCTTCGGTGAAACCATTCACGTGCAATATCCTCATCTGTTTGACGATAGTGCTCTTCCCCGATTCTCCCGCTCCTAAAATGTAAAAACAAGCAATTTTCACTCTTACTTCTCTTTTATTACGTTTAAGTTTGAAAGACAAACGAAAAAAAGGGACGAGAAGCAGTGGTTGTTGCACACAACATTTGAAGCTCGGTAGCGATCTTTTTGCACGATCGTCCAGACGATTATTTAACGAACGCGTAAAATGTAACGTATTATCGTGGTTTTTGAAAAACAGATACAGAGTTGTACCTGCAGACGGCAGAGGAAACAATACAGCAACAGCTGTTGCTTCGTAGCTTACAGCTACGAGACGACTATACACACACAACACACGTCCACGCGTCGAATTAGAACGACGACCTACATAAACGAAGAATAGGAAGGTAATGGCTAGGTGTTGGGTTAAGTATCGTAATAAGTAGATGGTGTGCGTGCGTGTGTGAGGGCGCACGCGCACACCCACGTTGGCCAACTATGTGAAAAAGACTGTGATTCGGGAGAAGGAGAAGAAGGAGACGTAGAGAGTGACACGAAAAGGGTACAACATGAGCCAACCAGCCCCGCTGGATATTCGTGGGTGCCGTCGGCTCATACGATAATCGATAAAATTGAATTACGCGCTGCTGAACATCGCAATAATGTTCGGCCTGTCCTCTGACCGGACTCGCTTTTTGTCCAAAATTGGTGATCGAAGCCGATTCAACTGGTATTCTAGCGGAAATTTTCTCCGTTTCTGACACACACGTGTACATAGATATAGAGAGTGTGCTGCATCTAAAAAAGAATAGATAAAGAAGACGGAACGGGACGAGATTTAACTGGAAGAGGCATGTGACAACAAAACGGAAGACATCCGCGAAATAAAAAGAAAGTTGTTAAAGAGAGATAGGCATGGAGGAGGGGCGAAAAAGAAAAGAGAAGAGGAAGTTCAGTGAATTTACTTACCAAGCAAAAGGAGCCTGTGGGTAGCTCGGTAAACTTGCTTATCCTTTTGCAATTGCCTGGTAATGGCATCCGAGCGCCTCTTCTGGTTCTTGCTGTCATCCTGGCTGGCCTTACTGCTCTGGCTGCCGAAACACCCCATGACACACCACGAGAGAGACACGCGCGGCTCACCCTCTTCGCTCTTCCCTTCCACTTCTGTTGTTCTCTGTTGTTCACGGCTTAGTGAAAGACGATATATCTCACCACTGTGTTACTCCCGAGCGGGAGAGAATAGACTCGCGCAACGAGTCTACCCGTCGGCGCGTGTTGTTTATCTCGCGTGAATGTGACGTTCGATAAGTATACTCCCCGGTACCAACAGTTCGTACAGAGATTCACTCCCTTTCCGCGTATATACCTACTGCAAGTTTGTTCCTTCGTTCCGGCCGTGTCTGTCACTCTGATACTTATCTATCACCGTATCGCGCTTCTCCACACTTGAGTTTCGTCCTTCTATCGAACTCTTTCTCTCTCTCTCTCGCTCTCTCCCTCTCCTTCCCTCCCTCGTTCTCTCTATCGTGCTCTCCTTCTCCCTCTCTCATGCGCCAGTCTTTCTCCTTTCTGGTCTCTGTCGCGCGTTTACTATCTCCGTTTTGTACACTCACAACACTATGCGTGCGTATATATATGTATATATATATGTATGTATATATATATATATATATATATATTTCTTGATGTCTTTTCTCAGTTGCACTCACACTCGATTCACTTCGCGGCTTCTCTGTCACTATCTCGCACTGCTCGCGAAACCATAGCTGCACGCACGATCAACGACGGTGCTGCTGGTCCAACACGCTGGCTTCGAACAACGATCGACTTTTGTGCGTATTTTAAGTACAAATATACAGGAGAAGCAGGATCGGAATGATCATCAGTGTCTGAAACGTGTCGATATCGAGTACCAGAGTTTCTACGACGACGAGTCCGAGCTTGGTGAAACGACGAGTTTACAGGTCGTGACACCTAGCCTGATAACAAATTGATCCACTCGGAAGAACGTGAGCGTATCGTGCGACAATACCAGGCCGCACGATTTGATTGATCGCTGATTCGACGAGGAAATGCTTGTGAATACAGACAGAACGAAATCACTTCCGAAATCCTCGGTTGGAACACTGACGAAAACCGGCCGCGAGACACTCGCGGCAGGTTGTGATAGAGGGAGTACGCACGAGGCACGACCAACACTCGAGAGTGGGAGCAAGACCGGGACTGGGATAATAGGTTGACGTGCACTGTCCGATGCGCCTCCTGTGATGGCCCGCGAACACGAGACACACGCGAAATCGTTTCAGGAGGAAGGGACTCGAACGCGTGTATACGACAGCTCGACCTCGCCTTGCCTCACCCTACCCTTCAGACAGAACAACGAGAAATTAAAATAGATCGGCTCCGGTACGTTGTTAGCTCGTTATTCGAGCAAATCGGACAAAGTCGTGGAATCGACAGCTCCTATGGATGAGAAAGATTCGCGCGATTGGAGCGGTTTTCGTCGATTTTTCTTTTGTCTTTTTTTTTTTTCTTATGATCTCGCGAATTTTCTTTCCTTGAACTCTATTCTGCAGGTTCACCTCACTGTTCCTCCAGGGTTTTCATCTGCAAGGTGAAGTCCAGTCGAAGAAGCCCAGTCGTTCCGATTTCCGCTTCTCTCTCTCTAATTTTCGTTTCGTTGACTCTTTTAATTTTTCGAAGGCTCGTCCGGATTCTCCCTCCCCGTCTCTCGTTCGTCTACCCCTCTCCGTCCGAGCTTCTTGTCGACGACCACAGCACAACCACCACTCGAGGAACCCAATCGTGTGCCTTCTCTCGCACACACCCTCGAGTGGTCTTACTCTCTTTCCACCTCGCTTTCACTGCGTTCGCTCACTCTCCTCACTCAACAATCCCAGAGGAAATTCGCGGCCAAAACATTCGAGACGAGGTGCTCCCTGCAGCCAACATGTCGTCTGCTAGGCCCACCAGCGCGACAGCTCACCGCGCTTAAGATGGATCAGGCACGTATCTTGATCCTTGGGCGCCCTGTCCAACGGCTCAACACTACTTCTTACACTTTTTTACTCCGAGAAATCTTTTTCAGTACGCACACGTTTCAATACAACACTATCACACGTTCGACCTCTTGTCCAGAATTTTTCGACAGATTTACTTGGGGCCAACAATTTGCCGTGTGAAGTGTTAATGCATTGACTGTAGCGCTATCTATTGAAACTAAATCGTTATGTTGCAATATGTTCGTATACACGCATGCATTTTGGTATACTTTCTGATTCAGCCATATGTGTTTAGTTAGATACGATAGGTTGCGCTGCGATCAATCCACACAGATGTGTGCATGTATATATGTATAAATATTCTAGGTGCACATAACGTCGCGTCAAATATCGCGTAATACGTATGTATCTTTTTTAATATGAAAATATAATGTTTGATATTATATATAAATGTAATAAAATATTTCTTTTTAATCTCGCGAACATTTATTAGTTTTTCTCCTTGTACCGGTATTTAAATTACTGCCAACATTGCTAACATTATTGCCAACATATAATCAAAAGACATGATTACCAACAGAAAATAATATAATGTTTAAAACTAGAGTAAAAAAAAAAATTTTATATGTACGTAAATATTTGATGTTTTATGTTGAAATTCAGTGAATCCAATCGTGTACAAGAGTTTATTAAAATACGCACAATAAAAAGTTTTTGTATATTTTTATGCAAAAGAAATTATAATAAACATATTCTGTAATTACATTGTTTATCTTATTTTTATATTAAACTAAAATTCATCTTTAAATAAATCATATAAGTATTATTACAATCGTAATTACTGCTATTATTATTTTCCTTCATGGTTACACTGTACTTCAAACCAAAATTGTATTCACTTACGACGTAAATCTAGATATACATATTCGACGCATGGAAATGTTAGAGTTAATGCAATAACTCATTTAACCTAGACTATATATGTATAACAAATTGAAAATATTTGCATACTTGATATTGATCGTATTTAAGATTTGCAATTGGAAGTGTAACCTTATGTAAAAGTTTGTTATTACATAATACGTTGATTTTCATAGAGTTACACTCTTATGAGGCAAAACATACAGAGCTATTGTAACAAGATTTACAACTCAAAAGTGGTCTATGACCAGAAGGCCACTGCATTCGCGCAAAAATATCTTGTAACGAAACGTATACTTGAAAATGACTTTTTAAAACGCAGATATATAGTGAACATGCCATTAGACGACCTGCTTGGTTAAATAACGTATTTCTAATACATAAAAATAGAATGAACAGCACTGTTTCCTCAATATCAAAGGAACTTGTCGACAATAAAATGTCATGCACAAAGCTATGCACAAATACAGATATTTTCATTTTCAATGAATAGCTATGAGACCTGACTCCAGGAGTTTTTGTAGTTTTGCCGCTACATCTTTATTCTTCAGATGGCTATAAATAAAAGAATTATAATATTAATATAAAATAGATTTTCTTCTAATATAATAAATCTGATAAAACTGAGTATGCTTACTCTTGTAAAGCTCTAGGATCGCTTTGCATTTGTTCTAAAATAAGTCTCATTGCAGGATCTCGTAATATACTTTGAACTTCTGGATCCGCCATTGCTCTCTTTCTTACTTCCTCAGGATTCGAACTAACAGAAACAGCACATGAACGGTATCCTTCTAGTGCCTCACTATTTGAAGGATCTAATTCCAATGCTTTTTGATAAGCAGTAAGTGCTTTTCCTTGTTGTTGCATTCCCTGTAATATTTTTCCTTTCCTTATCCAACCTTTGATAAATTTGGGATCAATTTCAACACATTTCTCGCAGTCTTTCAATCCGAGATCAAATGCTGCTAATTTGGTATAACAGGCAGCTCTATTGCTATAATATTTTGGATCATCAGGATTTCTTTTGATAGCTTCTGAGTAATGTTTTATAGCTGCTGGATAATCACCCTCCTTGTATTTTTCATTTCCCAATTCTTTTTCTTCTTCTGCTTTTACTGGATCAATATATGCTTTCCGTTCTTCTTCTTTAATGATTTTATCAATGTCTGAAAGAAGAGTTTTAATTTCGGGTGTTCTATGTTCTGACATGGATTTTTCATAATACACCTTAGCTTGTTTCCAGTTTTCCATTTTTTTGTATGCATGTCCAATTCTAGTAAATGCTTTAGCTATTAACTTAAAGTCTGCTCTATTTTCTCTTCCTACTTCGATGGCCTTTTCACATTGGGCAATACATTTGTCATATTCTTTTTGTTCAAAATATACTGCTGCTATGTTCAGTAAGTAAATAATTTCAGTAGGATCTAAATCTACTGCTTTGTTATAGTGTTGAAGGGCTATCTCAAACTTTTTTTGTTTATAAGCATCATTACCCAACAGCTTTTCACGTTGTGCTTGTTTTTGAGGAGTATTACAATCTTCTTCTTTTTTCTGAGGTTTAGGTGGTTCTTGTTTAGTTTTTGGAAGTTCTGACTGCTGAAGCTCATCAGTTTCCATTGGCGTTTCTGCATCGGTATCCATATTCATTAAAACACTAAGAGTTGTGTGTATTCTCTTATCTGATAACATCTCAATAGTAGCCTCTGAATTATTTCTGAGCTTATCCAAAAGTTTTAAATATTCTGGATCTTGTAAAAAGCCTTTGGTTCTAGGATCACTTGCAAGCTTCATAAATAAATCTGGTCTGTTGAAAGGATCAGCAACCATTAAACGCTGAGCTTTTACTTCAGCTAAACTATTTTGAAGTTGAATATTGTCAGGCTCGTATTGTAAGCCAGTTTCATACGCTTTGATAGATGCATTAAATTTGCCCAAGTAAGCCAATGCACTGCCCATCCGCGAATATCCTTTTCCCCAATCAGGCTTTAACTTTACAGTTTTTTCAGCATCTTCCAATGCTTGTTTATATTTTCCTGCTTTAGCGTATGCTGCAGATCTATTACTATATAAAACATGATTGTTTTTATCTAAATCAATTGCTTCTGTATAGTACCTAATAGCTTCCTCGTATCTTCCTTCTTGTAAAGCAGAATTACCTTTCTGTTTTAATGCATTTATCTGCAAATGTTTAATAATTTGATATTATTAAATTGGAATTTCAAAAAAACAAGCAATAGAAAAGATCAAGAATGCCTTTTTTACATAATTGTAATATTAACTTTGCAACGTAAAATGTTATTTATTTAACGAGCGCTAAGAACATTTTATATATAAGCGATTATGGTATCAAAACAAAAAATTGAATAATCTTTATAGCAACCTAATAGCATATACGAGAAAAATATTATATCGAATAATGAATAAGACAATTTTTAAAGCAAAGCGTGTTCAATTAACGATATGAATAAACACAAGTGTTTTTCAAAACAGTAACTTTTTAACCTTAGAAAATGCATAATAGCAATCAACGTAGCAAAAACGTTTACCTGGTCCATAACGCTTAACTTCGGAACAATGATATTTTCGTTCTATTTTTCGCAACTCGTTCTTTTATGCTCCTAAAGATACGTGATGAATCGTGAATGCACACTCTTGAGCCGGCGCAGATTTTCAGAAAGCTCCAGAAATGAACAACTAGCGCCTCTTCTTGATTGTAGAGAAACTAGTTACACGCAATGTCTGTTCTCGATTACGTTCTATATTTTTCTAGTACTTTCGAAAACGCTGTATCTTTTTTTATATGCGATTTTATTGTGAACCGAACTTCATATTTGATCCAAGTGATACTATATAAAATTTTCTATTTCACAATGTATGTACATAGACTGTATTCACCAACATTTTGTCGATTTTTAACATACTGTGATACATAACGATTTTTTTATATTTTATCTATATGAAACATATTATATTTTCATTTATATTTCATTATACTTTATTTCCTATTTCCAAACATTATTATTATATGTACATTGTTTCATAATTTATAATTTAACTTTTAAAAATATATTAAATAAATTAATTTAACTTTTAAAACTATACTAAATAAATTAATATATTTATAATGCATTAAATACAATCATGATTATACTTAATTACGTACATATCTACGTCTCTAATTATTTAAATTCTTTTTAAAAGAATTTTGGCTTTTTATTCATACTTTATACGAGTTACAATTATAATTTTGATATATATAAATTTGTAACACATGTGAGATTAATAAAATCTAAAGATACTCATTATCAGATTGATCGTAGAAATTATGTAATCCAAACATGAATTTTATTATTATATTATTATATTACTATAGTATTCAGTAAGCAAAATTTTCTATTTAAATTTGTTTTAGGAAATCATTGAAGCCGAAAATCAAGGTCGTTTTTTCACGGAACAGTTTTCAAAATATTCAGGAAAACTTGTTGATACTACTACAGTGAATTTTACCGATATAGACTTATTTGTGACACAGTCATAAGCATAGCCGATACGTCCGCCGCTGAAATTTGTTTAAATCTCATGTAGCTACAAACAAAAGAACAGAGATTTGAATTAGATTTCATTTTATATGGCCACCATAATTTCATTTTCGTGAAAAGTGAACTTAATTTTCAATTCAACGATCTAAAATTCCCGAAATTTGGATAAAAAAGCATTTAGATAAAAAATTTGCTTCCCGGATGCTATGTCAAACATGGAAACATGTCAAATAAAAAAAAACATACATGTGTATATAAACAATAATTCACGGAGATAGATACGTTTGAAATATAGACAACTTTGGTCTGCTATTATACGTTTGGTAAATGTCCAAGGTTGTTTGATTTGACATTTTTATTTAAAATCTGGTATTTCCATCAGCAAACTGGAGTAACTGGGGAATTCCAGTTATTTGTCGTGTTGCATTTTTTTCGCAAGCACTTCGATAACTGTTGTATTATCTCTGAAATTATTTTCTGCATTCGGATATTTTGTTGTATTATTCAGAGTATTTTTATATTGAATTACGGAACACATAATATTTTGTGAAAATAAATAATGTAGATTTTCATATTTATAATATAAAGATAATTTGGCATAAATAAATAATTACTTACAACTGAAAGACTATTAGACGAATAATAGGATTGTCTCTTTTCTAAGAACCAAATATATTCCGGAACCTGTGCAGTTCGCAGACTAAACTCCCCCCAAAAAGGAATAAGTCTACAAGCTTCTTAGAATACCTAGACCATTACATGTTACGAACTCGAAATATCCAACTGCCGGTCCTTGCTCCACATTTTTACAGCGGCTCTTACAAAATTAGCCATAACGTTTCATCTCCATTTGCACTTTCGTATTGTATTTACTGTATTTATTATTCAATAATTAAAATCAAGTTTTAAATATTTGTTAACGCTTTTAAATGCTGCAAAAAAATTCTAAAACCTATAATAAATTTTCTAAGATTTTTTATTACTAAAAAAATAATTATGTTAATAACATTAATGTTATCATTCTATTATTCTTGATACCATAAAAACAATATATGATATTAACAAACTTGACTATATACAATAAGGGAGAAAGGGAACGAGGAAATTAATAAACGTTAAACGTTTATGATAAAGCGAAATACTCTGACATAATAAAATCCGAGTTCGTTTTCTTATAAATAATCCTATTTTATAAATAACACTTATAGTGTTATTTAGGTCTCTTACTTTATCTAATATAAATATATGTATGTACACTTTTAAAAAAACAATGAAATTACGAATGTTCTGTTACGTACTATTTTTTCTATTTTTTTTTCAACGTAATTTTCAATGTAAATTTTCATTTTAAATCACTTTCAAACGTACGGATGTCATTGCCACATTCTCACACCACTCGAATAAAAATCTTTGATCTTCCATCTATATTTACAGAGATCCTACAGTACCCTAAGCGTAAATGTGAATCCTTTACAGTCGATTAGTTATATTACAACAAATGTATTCGATATTGTTTTCTTCGTCATCGAAGTATAGCAATTACTTCTCACAAAAGTATGTTTACATTAAAAACTATGTCTCTGTTTATCTTTTGCTTCTTCGAGTATTCTTTCGCTTTTTTTTTCGTTTTTATAATACATTTCACACTGATGTTGTTGATTATCTTTAAGTAAATAAAACATTCGATTTGATGCGATTAATACTTGCATTTGATGGAATTCGAATTATTCCTATCTACCTATGTACCTGTTTCGCGATATTCGCATAACCACGAATAACCATTTTTTAAGATATCTTCAGTAATAGTTTCTCAATGATATTTTAATCAATTATTTAATTTTAAAAATTGATCATAAAACAGACCGTATTGCCGAATTAGTCAATATATCAATAAATACTTCTATACTTTGACACCGACCACGTTTTGTCGAAGTCTCGCGATCGTCGGTAAATAATTAGCTGGAGAACTCTCTTCCTCGTCACTGCTATCCGAATCTGGTTCTGGAAGCGGTTCTGGTGTTGCGCCCAGTCTTACTAATTCCCTTGCGAGTTGACTATCAAAGCACAGAGCTAACTGATATGCTGTGATCCCGGCGTAGGTTTGTGTATCTAAGCAGGGCCTGCACTCTTGAAGGAGGAATGCGACCACTGACCGACACCCACGTTCCACAGCGAGGTGAAGAGCCGTTTTCCCCGCCAATGCTTCTCTGGCTTCAAGATCCGCTCCGAGACGCAGCAGAAGTCGCACAATCTCCACTTGACCCGATGAAGCGGCTATATGTAAGCACATTTCTCCTGAAATGTAAAGTGTAACATCTACATAAAGTATATATAGCACTATTAACATATGCTTCAGATATGATAATGTATGAATGATCGTTTTCTTTCAAGTGTTATTTAACAATTAGAGAGAAGATATCGAACGAGGGTATTAATGAGGGTAGAATTGTGTACTTCATAACGACGCGACCGAATCACATGTTTCTAGAAGATATAGATAGAACTAGGAAGACGCGGTGAATCATTATCGTCGGAGGTTTGGCTGGCGTCCCGCGGTCCAAACTAGGTTCGTACTGATCAAAGTGCTAAAATTAAGTCTCCCTTGTTACCAACGGCAGTATGTACATTGGCGGAATGTAATTACCAATTTCGTCGGAGCTGAATCTGGCCTGGCAACAGAGAGCTTTACAGATTTCTACCGCGAAAATATTTACGTTTAATTATGTTATGAAACGCATTGATGAACAATGCACCAAACGCAATTATGCAAGAAAATAAATTGTCACGTATACTCAAACAATACTATATTAATAATTATTAATTTGTTTTCCCTTATAATTGATATTCCTTAAGTCTATCGTCGGCTCGACGTTTGTGAATAAAAATGGAGAATCGAGAACAGCGATAGAATCGTTAACTTTCTTTTCCTCTTTCACATTTTCTTTTTTCCAAAGGAAACGTTCAAGGGTAAACGCATACACACGTCCACTGGTTTCCACGCCATTGTGGGGTTTTCCAAGTCGAATCAAGTCGAACTGAGGCGAGAATACCACGACACGCAAATAGTCGGACAGGTATTTTTAAATACCAAAAACATCTGCTTCGGGCTTTCTGTCTCATCGCGCGCTGCGCGTGATGTAACGTGCGTACACGTACGCACAAACGACGCGCCGAAATTCCGTCGCGTGTATTCTGAGTTTAATATCGCAACACTCTTTCCTTCTCATTTTCTTCTCTCTCCCCCCCCCCCCTTACCTAATTGCTTCATCTGTGAAATTTTCTTGGCGGTGTTTCATCGACCGAATCACCGTGGCTACACTTGAACCCTTGACGTTGACACCCCATTATTGAATTACACAACATGCAAAGAATTGTCCACCTCTCACCTTTCTAATTTAAGTCGAGCATGTGTTTCTTGCTCGATAAAATTACACACGCGAATGTTTACGTTTTCTTTGTTCAATCGATAGAACGTAAAGTACGTTATACGTCACCGTTATCTACGTACAACGATGCAATGCACGAGAACCAAGTACAATAACAGCTGCGGTTAAACAAAAAATTATTTCATAGCAAAAGCGTAATTTATTTCGTCATGGTCCAAAATCAGCCGTTACGCCAACAGCTTGACGTCCCGCATACATCCATTTTATAAGCCTAGAATGAAATGTATGGATGACGTTATGTGGGAATTCCGGAACTTTGGAAAAGAACTAACGATCATCATTCGACTATTTGCGCATCGCGGTTTGAGATACTTACTTCAAAAAGGGAAATTTTGCAAACTGTGAAAGAAGCCTAGACGACGGATGAAAAGAGGATAAGAAAGATTTCTGACTAAACTTTTTTTTTGAAGCATCCAAGACGCATTTAAGGTTTGAACATTTCAGTCATCATTGAAAAGGAAGCTATTTTTGAAAATCGTGCGATCACGCGGAAATGTTTCAAAAGATCCTATTTGAAAGCATTGGTCATTTTTCTCGAAAGTATCATGAATCGCCAATAATGGCAACTTTCATACTTTGGCTTCATGGAATTTCCGAACGAAACAAATTGAATAACGGATCATTCTCGATGCTTCGATGAAATCATGGGAAAACCGCGCATCGTGGTTGAATTGTTCTCGGAGCAAGGCACGAGCATATACGATGCCAATGACTGCTATTTCATGCGGTAAAAGTTGTTAGGATTTTCCAAGACGCTTCGTTTGTCCTTTCAGCGAGCGATACCAAAGTCGCGTCACATGCATTTCCTTTCTTTTGTCTTATTGTCCATTATAAAGAACACGCTTTGTTCTCAGTATTTTTTTGTGTCATACACTTCGTGATTAAATATTCAAAGATGATCACAAATGTGCTAAAACTATTTGACGTTGTTGTTACTATTTTTTCCATTCATAGAACATCATCGCCGATTTAAGCGGAACAAAGAAAAACATATTAATTCATTGGAAAGTGAGCGATCAAACAATGAAATGAAAAAAAAGAAGAATATAAATTTATTAATTACCATCGTAATTTCGCTGTTCTAAATTTTGTGGTAGAGGAGGTATCTTTTTTCCTGGGAGAAAGTAATTTCTTTCGACGAGTGTTAGAGGATCGGTAAGGGCCTTTGCACAGGCAATGTCCCCCGTCGCACACGCCAAGTGAAGAGCCGTGTTCCCGCGGAAGTTTCTCAACGTTGGATTTGCACCTGCTAAAACCAGCCGTCTGACGATCCTCGGTTGACGTGTCAATACGGCTAGGTGCAAGGGCGACTGGCCGTCATCGTTCAGGATATTTAAAAAATAGGAATGTGGTGCCATTCTTATCAAGCTAAACGCAGCTTCCAAGAATCCTTGCACTATAGCTATATGAAGTTGCCTAAGAGAGACAAAAAAACAGAGAGAAAACAAAACAAATTATTAATGATTTTGAGGAAAAATATCTGCATAAAGATGAGAAACAGTATGTTGCAATTTTTTATTCCATAATAGGCAATTGAGATATTAACGTTGGTCATTGCACGAGATTGCACGTGTTTATGCGACTAGTCTTCGACCTCGAAATGTTTTTTCCTCATTTTGAAGTTTGTTTCACGGTTCATTTTCTTTGTACAATGCTCGATATTTTGTCAATTAACTAACGCGTGCAACATTTTGATTTTTGTTGTAAAAAAAAATTATGTAATCGTCTTCAAGATTTCCAAAAAGTGTTTAAAAGAATCTGACGAATGTGCATCTCGCGATTCAGTGGTTCAACGTGCCTCGCGAAACGATTGGCCGATTAATGCGTATATAATGATACGCGTTAGGCGTAACGATATTTGCTTCGATTAACATATTTCTCATATGATCAGGAAAATAACAATTGTATTTGATAATGACATTCATTTTAAAATACTATTCGTCGTATCGTTTGAACTTTAAACGGAACGACGATACAGTCAAAGTTAAAATTTTGTTTCCGATCTGATTTATTTAGCTTCCAACTTCTTTTCTTAAGTCTGTATGTATTACATGAAATCATAAAACAATAGTTGTTGCGCTCTGATCGATATATCATCGAGTCATTGCCTCATCATGCAAAGAAAAATATCCATCGAACGGAAATACATTATTATCATAAGACTGACCGATACATTCGAAAGCTATGGTGCTTCAAAATAACGCGGGTTACAGATTGCGCTAAAACGGAGCATGCGCCTATCTGTGCCAATTATACACATTTATCGCTTTATTTTGCTCTTTAATAGTCTCATTAATCACATAATAAAATAACGTCGTTGTAATTATATATGCGAGACATTACACGATAAATAACACGATTCGCAGCAAGGGAATTTAAATATTATTAATTGCGATTACTTACGTGTCACCATCATCGTCCTGGGTATAGTAGAGCTGCCAAGGTTCCTCATTAAGCGACTTTTCAGAGGACTGATGCGGTTGCAACATCGAGGCATTATGTTGCTCGAGTTTTTCAGCGCTTACAGGAGTTAATTCAACAGTGGGCTCGGCCTGAACCTTACCGCTTGTCAGAGGGTTTAACGTAACATGTTTCAACGTAAGCTGGCTTAAGCTTTCGCTCAAGCCAAGATCGACACCGCTGTCTGCTCTCATTGGTTCCGGGGCGGCTGGTGCGGTTGTTGCAACATTCAATTCGGAATCGCACAGCTCCGAACTGATTTGGAGATTCCCACTGGAGAGAAACCCGGAATCGGCGTGGCTCGAGTTACGTTGATCCTCGTACTTTTGTTTTTGCTCGTTCTCTGGAACATTGCTCTCCATCGGTGTCGTTTTCGAGGAATGCCACATTTTTTTTTTTTTTTTTCGATTACTAATATTCAACCCGCACACAAAAATCAACTTATTTCCCGCTTGCCTGGAGGAAAGCTATCGTGCAACTCGCGTGCAAGTATACGTATACATAGAGCGATGCACCACTGTATACGCTTCTTTAAAATCTTGACGCGACGATTCTACGCAATTTTCCGTGCGGGCAATTTAGTCGGTTTTTTTACGATTTCGTTCGATTCTTTCTCCTTCTTCTGAATAAAAATACGTTCGTCTCTATTTCGTTCGTTCGCAAGCTACGTCACTGCTCCGTTTATTCGAGCAATCATTCGATTGTCGTTCGCCTCGAACAGCTGGTTTTTTTTTCTTTTCTTTTTTACGTGTATTCGGTTTCTCGTTGTCGTTGCATTCTCGTTTCGACTGTGTTCGTACGTCGTTCCACGATAATTTCACGTTCACGTATTGGTATGGAAGACCGTTTCACAAAAGAGGTTAGGTGCGTTAAAATTTATATTTTCGACGAAAAAACAAATAGGTGGAGAAAACAAAATTATATGTACTTGACAATCATGTAAAATTTGTAACGTGTCGAAACTCCACTCAACGCGCTGTCTGAAAACGAACTAATTATGCGATGTTAAATGACGCGCCGAGTAACTTCCACGATGGCTGCACTGCACAGTGGAACTTCTGGCCTTCTGGCAGTATCAGCGGTTTGCGAGCTCTCAAAGGGGAAAGGTAGTGGTGGGAAAACCCATCGTCCTCTGGCAGGGCCGGCTGCACGTATACACGTATACACTATGTACTCAATTTAACTTGACATTCTTTAGATAACCAGTTTAAAGAAAGAAAGCCAAATCGGAAAGTCCACCAAAAAATTCCCATCATTATTTACCTCGTATCATTTCACAATCATTTCACATTTATACGGATGTACTTTAATGAATTATATCGTCTCTCTTTAAACGAACATTTATGTTTCAATACTACAATTATTATCAAATTTTTCGCTAATAATAATAGATTGTCAATTATTATTTACAGAATTAAGAGATAGATTTTTAGATAATATCAAATCAAGAGAATCTCAGACTAAGAGAAACGAAAGAAACGAAAGATACACCACCGTGCACATTTTCTGTTTCTCTCTTTGCAATCATACATTTGATCACAATTTATCTGTCTATCATTCATTACTTTTTGGTTACTATCGAGTATCCAAAACTCTTTTACTTAAATCTCTATTTTGCATTTAGATTATCGAAAAATTCAAATAAAACTTTGTTGAATATTTAAGAAGCGATGAGAAAGCGTTTGTTCATCGCGAACAAGCAATCGTGTATACGTTTCTGTAGGAAGATGCAGATTTCACTGTTCTACTTTCTTTTTGAATCATCAATTTGTATGATACAAACTCACCGGAAAGTCCATTGGCATTTATTAGAAACTTTATTATATATATATATATATATAACTTTATATATATTTATATATTATAATATATGTATATATATATATATACCAATATTTACAGATAATTTTGTGTACCAAGAAAACGTTGGTACGATGCCCTCTCAATTCTGAAAGTGAATCTCGATCCTATTCATGGGTGTTTAAATACGGGTTTCCCCAAAGATAGTTTAAGACTCGGTCTTAAAACAAAGAGAAATCGTATTCCCTATCGTTTATTATACAAATAGTACGCTAATAATTCCAGGTCGTAAACGAGTTTCTCAATCCTCATCCTCGATGACATGAAACGAATTATATAATTTTATGAATTATATAATCATTGGTTAACAATGAATAGAATATTTTTAAAAATATTATTCATTCGTAATTTTGCTTTTCGTTCATAATATATAGCAGAATATAATTATATAAATTATAATTATATAAATATAATTATATAAATCTTTTCTTATCAATTATGAATACGTGTAATTAATAAATAAAATACGTGTTATTAATAAATAAAATTTAATAAAAAGAAAAATCCGACCAAATTTTTTCAACGGTCAATAAGAATTTGATGCCAAACCTATCTGGGAAAAACCTGTTTATGATAAGCTCACACAAATTATCTTTGTATTGTTCGTAAATTCGTCGGTAAAATTCACTGGTAGATATACCACTTATTATATTATCAATAATTTAGTTATTGCACTTTGAATTTTGCATAATTTTTGATCTGTATCAAATGCTCTTACACGATTTGATTTCCGATGTCAATTTTCATCTGTAAAGTGTAGAAGAGTCCTCAATGATAAATAAGTTTCTTAAAGAACAATGATTAACATTGTTCAATTTGTATTTTATTTTAATCTATTAATTATTAATTAATTATGTACTTTTATTTTATAAGGTTGGACATGTTAATGATATTTCAGTCGTTCACGATTGAATAAAAAAATGTTTCAAGGACGAAGCAGAAAAAATATCAGAACACTATAGTCTCGTTATGTTTTTCATTTTTTTTATGAATCAATCTTACAAATCTTAACATTAAAAAATATTGTTTATTTAATAATTCGCTCATCCAATATTTATATTGTTTTCAAATAAAAACTATGGAAACAAAATACGAATAATTTATCGAAAAAAATAAAAGTAATTATATATTAAGTGATCACTTACTCGTTTGGAAATATCTTCGCAATGAATGAAAATCATGCTAGTCGTCAGATTTGATTGCTCTCAACTGAATTGTTTGCATCCTCCTGTTCGTAGGAAGGAAATTTTATAGATACATATTCTAGGTATAAGATTATGTAGTAAACATAAATTAAATATTATGACAGAAACAAATAAAATAACCAACTTGAACACAAGGCTTAGTGCAACGTGCGCTTTCAACTGTTTGAATCAACTACGCGCTACACGGAATTTATGTTCAGACGGGAAATTCCTAAGGAAAGCAGACAATAAATATGCGGGCACATAAATTTTTTAAATATTATTTTTATAACAATTGATCAGATGCTTTCTTCTAAATAAAGTTTTAAACATATAACAAAATACGTATACACACAAATATATATATCATTATAAATAATTGAAATAAATAAGTACTTTTGTTATGACTATATAATTTTTATTTTCGCAAAATATAAAAATATCATGTACTCTTATGTTCAAGAATTCCTTGTCGTATCAGAGGTTCACATACAGATCTTGGTAATAAATGATATGTATTTTTTTTCAATAAAATAACTTGACCATCATCCAGTTCCAATTTTCCAAAATCCTCTACACATTTCACCTAAAATAATACCACATTTTACAATATATATATTTATACAATATATTTAACCACTATTAAAAAAAAAAAAAATTGAATGTGTGCTTTACTTACCTCTACATAAAGAGTTTTTGGAGGCACCATGTTCGTTGTTAGATTAAACCCATGATCTTCTCCCAAGGATCTCATGTATTTAGCTAAAGATTTATTGTATGACTGAAACCACTGAACCTCAGCATTTATTAGATTGGTATTTATTTCTGGTGGTAGAATGCTTCCTAATTCCCATCGTAATTCTTTTAGTTTCCTCATTCTGTTATATATGTATGCTAAGATACATCTTTTGTTCCTTTTTAATGCTATATGTCTCAACTGTACAGATGGTAATAATGCCATATTATTATCATTCCTAATGGCATTGCTGAAAAAAGTTTGTTCAACAATAAATGTTTTTCAAATTTTAATTTTTACATTATTATATTTTATAAGAACCTATTTGCCACATTTGCATCATAGAGGGATTGCATTTCTTGCAAAATTTCTTTAATTAATGCTTCCTACAGATAAAACATATTTTCAGATTAGTATTTATTTATATTATCATATCATATTATCATACAACCTACATTAAATGGCAATATATCAGAATATAAATCTAATTCTGATATAAGCTTAAAGCCTTTTCTTCCATACATATTTTAAAAATAATATTAAAAATATTATAATGTTAAAAAATGTATACAATACTACTGGTGAACATAGAACAATCAGTGTAAAATTTTTAAAATATCAGCTATACAATACTATAAATTTTAACAATGACTGCATTTAAAAATCATCAGTTGCTATATTATGAACCGTTTACATTTGATACTAGTGACATCTACAAAATTTTTGTTCCTAATAACTAGTGACATCTTACATCAAATTATCAGGAAACATTTAGGTTATTGTTATAACAATAAACCTTTTTTGAAAGAAACTTGTTTATTAAAATGTTGACACTTAGAACTATTGTTACAAGTTGCAAGTTGCAGATACATTCGAAACAAGTAACGTATTGTACAAAGGCTATCGTCGAGCAAACTAGTCCAATCATTTCTAAAAGAAGTTATGAAGATGAAAATTATTTTTACCAAAGACCGCGAGAAGTATGGCTAGAAAATATAGATACTGTTGAAAGAAAAAAATTAGGGCTTGTATTTCTACATCCAGATGTTTATGCAGCATCTCCTAGAATAGATATAATTCAGGAAAATATTCGCTGGCAAAGATTGTACCGCTTTGTGGTAATTATTACATTTCATTAATTAATTCATTTTAAATCAAGAACTACAAATTAAATACATAAATGAATTTTTCATTTTAGTGCTATGCACATACAAAAATACGTTCCGAAGTAAGAGGTGGTGGTAGAAAACCGTGGCCACAAAAGGGACAAGGTCGTGCCCGTCATTCAAGTATACGTTCTCCATTATGGAGAGGTGGTGGTGTAATACATGGACCTAGATCTCCTACAACTCATTTCTACATGCTTCCCTTTTATACCCGGGTGGCTGGACTTACGTCTACATTATCTGTCAAATTGGCTCAAGATGATTTGTATATTATTAATGATTTAGAAATTCCATCCAATGAACCTTCATATGTTGAGGAATTAATAGAAAAGCGACATTGGGGTCCTTCTGTGTTATTTGTTGATACTGATGATATCATGCCTATAAATATCACAGAAGCTACGGATGTAATAAAACATGTAAATTTAATGCCTGTATATGGTAAGCTATATTTTAATACATTTTAATGTTATTTTGTAGCATCATTATATATTTATAGACTATATATTTATTTTTTAGGGTTGAATGTCTACAGTATGTTAAAACATGATACCTTAGTTCTTACAGAAAGAGCTGCGCGTTTGATTGAAGACAAAATATTGTATCATTTACATAGACCAGATTCTCATAAACTAATGTCGAAATTTAAACTTAATCAACAATAAAAATTAAAAAATAAAGGAATAAAACATTAGTTTATTTCTTATCAAATTGCATTTATTTTCTATAACAGTAAATAATTTCTTACAATAATTCAATATAATCAATATAATATATCAATATCAGTTTTAAATTTATTTATTTTAAATTAAAAATTTCATACCAACAAGTTGAATAAATATCATTTCCTTCTTAATGTTGGCATACTAGTTGATTTTCTAGAAAGTGGCTGCAAATATAAATATCAATGACACTAATGACAATATAATACTGAATTATTATATTTCTATAATTTTAATTATGTGATAAGAATTTTTACCATTGGGTGAGGATCTTCGCCTAACATTTTTTCACGAATAGCCCACCTTATGCTTGTATGTTTAGCTTCTCCAGGAAAAGACATTTGTTTCCATTTTTGTTGATATTTTTGGTAAAGTAAAACAGGATCAGTTTTTTTAACATTTTTACTTTTTTGAGCTTCCGGTTGCAATCTCCATGGTCTAATAACTAAATTCAAAGAAAATAAAGTGAAGAAGAAAATAAAATCGTATTTGTATCATAATATAAAAAATGTATGATAGAAATTTACACGATTTTGCTCCAGAATAAGTATTTTTTGTAGATGATGTACTCTTTGTTTGGCTACTTCTGGTATATTCTTGTTGATGTTCTAAAATATTCGGTGCACTCATAGGACGAACTGATTGTAAAGCTGTTGATTTTTCTCCAATTGGTATTTTATCATCATGTATTTTTGTTTTGCTTTGCATTTCTACATGGAAATCTTTTTTCAAACATTCCTTGTATTTATTTTTACTCAAACAGGTTTTATCATCTATGTTATTATATGATACAACATTAGATTTAACATTGTATTGATCTTGTGCTCTTATGGATTTGGATTTTGATTGTATCATATTCACTTTATGACTTACATTTGGATAGTTCCCTTCAACATCTGTAGGACTTTTGTTTTCTTTGTCACTTGACAATTTTTTCACTTGTACTTTTATAATGGTATCATCAAAATAAGAACTAGAAGAATTAGTGGATACAGTGTTTTCGAATGATCGTAACTCTGCTTTCTGTTCTCTAAGAATTTCTTTAATCATATCTTTTTGCTTATTTATTATTTTTTTCTTAATCTCTTCCTTTTTTTGTTGTTTTTCACAATCTTTTATTTTCTTGTATAATTTTAAATCTTACACCAAAAAAAGAAAAAAATATGAATTAGCAACAATGTGCACAAGATGTTTATATATTAACGATTCTAAAATCAAAAAAGGATATTGGCGATATTACCTTTCATAAATGCTTTAAGTTGTTGAGCGGTAATTCCAACAAATCCCAAGGAATTAAGAAGAACAAGTACTTCTCTTGCATCATCATTCATTATTGATAAAATAATATTGACTTTCAACAATAAATATTAGTACTGGAAATTGTTCCGTATATCGTAAGCAGTATTCAAATGATAGAAACGTTAAAAGCTATTAGTTCCTTTAGTCATAAATTAGCTATAATCGTTTAGACAGTTGAACACTTTGTTTGAAAAAGATTGACTTAAAGTATTAAAAATTCATTTTACATTTTAAATGTTTTCTCATTAATGAATAGAAAGTTTAGGTATACAATTTTTTAATAGTTTCTTATTATTTATATTGTTTATGCAATATTTCATTAACCAAAACTACTAAGTGAGTGTACACTCTATAGAGCAGTTACAGATTCTCAACTGATGCTTAATGGAAACTGAATCGCCATCTCTTAGAAAGAGTATTAACTAAGAAGAGCGTTCGGAGAAATTTAAAGAATTATTGGAATGTATTCCAATTGATCACGAAATCAAATCGAATTTAAGAAAAAACAAACAACAAATATTAATCATTATAAATTTTTAATAGAAACAAATAATATAGTTAACTGCTTCTCTCGAATATAAATCTATTTCTTTCGTTACGGGATATTCTAAAAACGTTTATACTATAAACAATCGGTATCTGCGCAGAATCTTTCACCTACGCTTGATTTAAGTTTAACGAAGCATATTTAATTGTTCATCAGTCTGAAAACTAATCTTTGTAGAAAATGTCGTCGATCGTGTATACTGTTTTTCTATTTATCACTGTGGCAGTGAAAAGCCGCTTTACAGGTAACCGGATTTTTTTCCTCTTAATTATATGTAATTAAAAAATATCTTTGACTATAATTGACAAGTGATAAATTCAAAATATATTAAGACGGTTATGACTGTTTCCCAGATATATACGCTTCAAAAATTTACACATTGGATGTTCCGCTCGTGGTACGTAATGGAACTGGACCAATCGATCTTTCTTGCATTTACAATGTCAGCAAATATGAGAACGGTCTTGTAATAAAATGGTACCATAATGAGGATCAAATATATCAGTGGATCCCACCAAGTAATTTTAAACAGATCTGAATTTTTTGACCTAGACTACTTTGTACAATATGAGCATGATATTTTTTTCTTTCTATTGTAATTGCAACTACAGTGCCACCTCAAGATGTAGGAGTGATAAACGGATTGGCCGAATATCCCGAACAAAATTTAAAATATTCTAATTCACGATCCATCATACGTTTAAAAATGGCCATAATTGAAATGACCGGAGAATATGCTTGTATAATTAGCACCTTTCAGGAAGAGGACGTAAGAAGAACAAAAATGATTGTTTATGGTAATCATCACAGTTTAGTAATTTATATTCTATATATACTACATTACTGTTAAATATTTTATTACAGTACCAGAAACTAGTTTATCAATCCACGCTTCATCTTTTAATGAAAGCCATTTGAATCTGATATGTATAGCAAATGGAGGACAGCCACGACCGATACTAAGAATTTACATAGAAGGAATTGAAGTCAATAGTTATCATGATAAAATTGTAAAAACAATGGGATACACGAATATTGTCTCTGGGACACGCAGTGCAATCGTAAAGAACCCTTTGGAACCATTACTATTAGAATGTGAAATTTCTATACCAGAAACGGATTATAAACGCAGAGAAAAAATCGTTTATTATCCTAGTTCGATTCGTTCCAAAAGATATATAAAATAAAATGAAAATAGATGTGCGTCTTAATTTTTCTTCTATTTTCAGCTCAAATGTTACCACAAATCAGTAGTGCATCAAACTATAAAATTGGCGAAATCACTTTCATCATCTACATAGTATTGTTATTGAAGTAAATAAATGTATAAGACGTGCAGAGATTTTTATGTATTAAATTTAATTTATATTTATATCATTATTAAGTTCTTTACGATCTTCTTTATCTAGATTTTGATAAATCACATTCTTTTAATTTTTGATAAATCTATATTCATATAGAGTAAATTCATTTAATTATAGCAAAATTTTAAATCTTTAAATATCATGTCAAGGCAGAAAATGCAATTGCGTGTGCGTTAAGGATTAAGGAGGAAACAGGAGTTGGTGGGGAGATATTCTCCAACCAGCGATCCTTGGAAAGATTATCATTTATCGTTCGGCGTTCATCCGCAAAAGATTTGTAAGTTACCATTTTCAAAATTGACATTTCAATTCGTGTCATTTAAACTTAAATAAAAAAAATTATTTAACACACATTTAGAGCGTTACATGTGTACTATTTTATCAATTTTTTATAATTTTCTTTTTTATTCGAATTTAACATGTGTAAAATAACAGACGATAAAATAATTATATTTAATTTATTTGACAGTGAGTTACTGAACTAAAAAATGAATTGCACTTGTATGATGCTATTTCTCATAGGTAAGCAATATTTAATTTTTACAATAGAAAATATTTTTACTATGTATTGTGAGTGGATCCTGAAATGCATGAAATAGCTATTGTGTCAGAAGATTTTGAGAGAAATTCAATATAGATCGAATTAGAAACGGTAGTACAATCTTCATTTGAAGGAGGCGACATTATTAAAGAATGCATCACTTAAAACAGTCTTTATAAAGTCGTTGCATATATTGCTGTGCCTTTCAGTAAAAGACAGAAAATAAAAAAATTGCGATCAATTTTTATAATAGAAAATATTTTTACTATGTATTGTGAGTTGATCCTGAAATGCATGAAATAGCTATTGTGTCAGAAGATTTTGAGAGAAATTCAAAATAAATCGAATTAGATACTGTAGTACAATCTTCATTTGAAGAAGGCGACATTATTAAAGAATGAATCACTTAAAACAGTCTTTATAATGTTGCTGCATATATTGCTGTGCTTTTCAGTAAAAGACAGAAAATAAAAAAATTGCGATCGATTTTTTAAATATTTTCTCGTAATTAACATAAACCAGAAAGAGGAAGAAGTTCTAATCGAAGTATGCATAAGCTTGCGTTCTATATAAATGCAATAACTTGTAATTACTTGTTTGAAATTCATCGATGAACGATACGCGCTAGTCATAACATACATAAATTCATCAAATACGTTCTCTTTATACATTTTTTGAATAAATAATTCTGTCATAGTATTTTAAATAACACTAACTGGTTTTTAGCAGTTTTTTTAATTCAAATAAAATAAATAAGAAATAAATACATATATTTTTTGCAATACAGTATGCGCATCATGGGTCTTTGGAGAAACCTTATCCTGCGAACAATGTGGCAAAGAATGCGCCGAGAAATGCGGAACACGACAATTTCGTGCCTGTTGCTTCAATAACATGAAGAAAAGACAATTTGAAGAGAAAGACAATTTAAAATGGAGAATGAGACCACAGCTATATACAAACTGGTTGTACCCGAATTTCAATATGAATTAATTATTTACTATATTATTTTATTCTTCTATATCAGTATGCTTCATTGAAACTAAAAATATTACTCAGGGATAATTGTATAATTATAATTATAATTATCTTAATTTTGCAATGTCGTTCTAAGTAAAAATATTTGATGTATCATAATTTTCTTAAGTTACGAACTGCAATAGATTAAATATATCGGACATTTTAAATCTATCGTTATTATTTTTTAATTTTTCCGAGGATATATTTAAAAAACTATTATAAAAATAAAAGACGATTTTCATAAAAATATATTTATTTTTATGTACATATGTATTTTTCCGTTCGATACACACACAATATATATTTAAGCAATCCAATTTTTTATACGTTTTATTACCTTTTTAAATAGAATTGATTGTTTGATTTCATCAGAACAACTCTCCAACTTATCTAATAATTTTTTGCTTTTATTTTTAATTACATTCCATTGTAATTTATCCAAACCAGGATATGATGTTCTGTTTAGAAGTAATTTTAAATCTGACTTATTGTTAATATTATCGAAAGTAATTAATTTTTCTTTTTTTCCCAATTTTTTTATTTTTATTTTAGAATTTTTCTTCTTTTTTTCAATTATAAAATCTTTTCCTAAATTTTCGACACAAAACTGTCGATGGCTATTCATAAAATTTGCTACTTTTTCTTTTTCATTTGCTTTATCAACATTTGTGATTTCTTTATGTTTCTTTTCAGCAGTTATTGATGAGTTCTGAATACATTCTAATTCAAAAGCATGACGATCTACAATTTCTACAAAGCAAAATAAATTTTATAAATATTTTTGTATACAAATAATATTTTTTTTAACTAAGATTATCTCGTAAATTAGTTTTAATACCTCCTGTATCATTATTAGAAATAACAGTTGCAATCTTATTTGAAATATTTTTATTTCCCAAAGAAGAAACTGTATTTTCAGATTTTGTTTCTTTATTGTTAAAAGCTAAATCTTCATCTGAATCATAAGGAGTAATTAATTTAAACATTGTATTTTTTAATCCATAATCATTGGGAACACTATAAAAATACAGATTAATTAACAGTAATTGTCTTGTATAAAATAGTTTTTTTTGTATAAAATATATTTATTTGTTTTACATGCCTTGGTGTAGATTCATCTATCCATGGTACTAATAGCCATGATTTTAGATCATCTGCAAGTTCATAGTTTTCAGGTAGCCAAGGTAATCCAACAATTTCAAATAAGTGTAGATACTGATATAAGTCATTATACCATATACATACTTTTTTAAGTAAATGTCTTGATAAAATCCTAAGAGTAAGATATATGAATATTCTATATTATCAATTTATGCAATTCATAATATAAAAATACATACCATATTCTACTAATAACGGCATATGAAATAATACCAACGGACCAAGCATGACCTAAAGCTATTCTACATTTAAAAAAATATGCAGCGTGTCTAGAAACCTCTTCTAAATGTAACATAAGTTTTGCAAAGCCCTGTGTTTTAACTAAAACATATTCTACCATTTGTTTACTTGATAATGTAATATATTTTTGATCTATTTCAACATGATTCTTCAAATTTTCATATTCTTTTTCAAGTGACAATGATAAATATCTGAGCAATGCTTTGTTTACTTTAAGCATTGATTTCAAGCCTTTGTCACTTCGAAATTTTCTTTTCATACGATAAATTAATCTACTTAAAATTGCTGCTTCTTTATGCAACATTTCTTGAGAAGTTAAATCCTTTACAATTTTGTCCAATGTTAATAAAAATGCAGCTGCATCTAACAGTGATAAAAATAAAGAAAAATCATATATATATAAATATGAAATAAAACGTTTTTTTGCTTCTTGTATAAGAAATTTTTAATTTCTGTCTTATCATTTTATTTACACATAGAATTAAACTTACCAAATTTTTGACGTTCAACATGACAAACCGCATTGGGAGGGCGTTCTAATTGCTTGTCGTTCCATATAGCTTCCATAATGATTAATTATTGAAAATATAACTTATTTTTATATATGTCAAAATAAAAACATAACCTTACTTCTTGTACGTGTAATATAAGAGAGCACGTCATTAACAATTTACAATTTACAATATATAATAAATTGGATGTTTAATTCTTTATACATGAACATATATTATTAATATATATGTATATATATATACATATATTCGTGCAAATTATACATCAATACATATGCATGTAGCCAACACTATCGACGACGACAATATACAGTTACATATTTCTCGAAAATGTGTAGGTTAAATACAGAGGTAGGTCGAGATAATACAGGTGAATTTGGTAGAAAATCAAGAAGTAATTTATATATGCCACGATACGCAAAATCTCCTTGTACAATAGAGCGGTACATTAAATTTGTTCATGGATTATAAGATTGTAGCGAATTCGCAGATTTAATCTCCAATATGCAATTAAAATATGTTAATGAATATACAAGCAATAGATGTGAACATAATTTGTGAAATCTGTATTATATACAATAGAGTACAATAAATTGTCATTAAATTTTCACCTAACAGCTTTTATTGTTTCGAATTTTAGTAAATATAATTGATTTCTTTGTCGTTCAGTATTTAATAAAGGTCAAGCAGATGTTACCGTACAACCAATTCTATCAAAATGTAGTAGTGGACAGAAATCATACATTTTTTTATTCATTACGATTTATTTATCTGTAGATTTGAAAGATAATAGATTTTAGGTTTTTCGACTTTAAAAATTAAATGTTACAAATTTTATTGTAAAATGTAAAAAATTATTTACATATAAATATATAATTATAAATTAAGAAATGTAAAAAAAAATTGTAAAATTGTAAAAAATTATATATTTTATATATAAAATGTATATATGTATATATTTATGTATAATACAATACTCAGATTAACTAGTACCATTTATTAAGATTAAATAATAATCAATGTTTTGCTGAGTTTTGTTGATGCAGAGTAAAATAGAGATATGATTTAACAAGCAAATGGTAAACAGGGATAACATTTGACTGTTCCAATATAAAATAATCCACCAGTAGTAACAGGTACCCTGAAGACAGAGCCAACTTCGTAAGGAGCTGGGACTGGTTTAGGCATAGGTATACAGGTGACACGGCTTGTGCAAGGTGAATAAATGTAAGGGCATGGAACACTAGGAGAACATGGCATGCAAGTAATAGGTGGGCAACAGTTTGGTTTTGGTTCCAATTTACATGGTGGCATAGGACATGTATAATACCAAATAGGTTGAGGCGAACACGACATAGAGCATGGTGGACATTGTGGGTCCATTGGTGGACAGCAACCGCAACTAAAAGAATATTAAGTTGACTGTCATTGAATTCATCAAATAATCAAATTATCGTACCTTTCAATAATATCTTTCAAACAATTTTTACCGAAAGGTCGTTCACATTTTATCGTTACCGACATTTGTCAATGTAATTATATAACTGAAAATTTTATTAATTTCCGAACAAGAGTCTGAAGGTTGGTATTAAAATAATAGAAAAATATTGACAGACGATAAATGATTCGGAAATATAGACAAATTCAATTATTACATGTAAATAAATATTTATAGTTAATGTATTTTATTTATATATTCATTATATAAATTTATTAACGATGCCGGCGTTCGTGGAGTAATTATGGCTAATGCTGCTTTGAAATGTTCTTTGGTGATTATATTAGCATTTAAGTTTTCTTCGAGTGCTTTCATAGCAGCTTCGTGACAAATTGCCTGGATTTCTGCTCCAGAATATCCTTCTGTAAGATCAACTAGATCTTGAATTTGTACATCTTCAGCGATTGGCATATTTCTTAATTTTATATCAAAAATCTCTTGTCTGGTTTCATAATCAGGTAATTCCACGTATATTATCCTATCCAAACGACCTGGACGAAGAAGTGCCTGTAACAAAACAATATTTAGCTGTACTGTAGTATCTAAGAAACCAAATTTTTATTCTAAATTCATTATTTCAGCCCAGATTATATTTTATGGAAATGGAAAGTTTTTGAGATATTTGCATAGATTTGCACAATTTGTCTACATACACGTATCTGGACAAACATACATAGTTGATACGTCTGGTATTGAATAATCTGTTTAAGTCTCTCACACAACTAAAAAAATGAAGAGGTTTAAGTCAGAGTTGGTTCATTTTATCCTTTTTGATGAAACTATTCATTTCCGTGAAAAATGATCTTGATTTCGATTCAAAATATTCCCTAAATGATAAATTTGGACTAAAAATTTTGCTTTTCAGGTACTATACTTGCTTTTCAGTACATTCCAACATTTTAATTAATAAAATATTTTGTTAAATATAATTATTTATGAAGATATAGCTAACTTTATCAATTTTATCAGGTCGATTAGTTGCTGCCACCAAAGTAACGCCGCCTAATGCAGTAACTCCATCGAGTTCTGTTAATAACTGTGCTAAAACTCGTTCTTGTACATTACTTCCGCCGCTTGATGAAGAACTTCTTTCGCTTCCTAACGCATCAATTTCATCAATAAATACTATTGAAGGTGAAACTTGTCTTGCTTTTCGAAATACTTCTCTTACGGCTTTTTCGGATTCACCGACCCATTTTGAAAATAATTCTGGACCCTAAAAATATATTTTTTAACACTTTTTTCAGAATGAAAATATTTCAAATTAAACTGTCTTACCTTTATGTTTAAAAAATTTACTTTACTTTCTGTTGCAAGAGCTTTTGCGATCATAGTCTTAGAACAACCTGGTGGTCCAAACATTAAAACACCTTTAGGTGGAGTTATACCCATCCTAAGAAACGCTTCAGGATGACGCAATGGCCATTCAACAGCTTGTTTTAATTTTAATTTTAAGTCTCTTTGTCCTCCTATATCCGACCACCGAACATTCGGTACTTCTACAAGAACTTCTTTCATAGCTGATGGCTTTGTGACAGTTAAAGCATGTTCAAAGTTTGACACTGTTACTTTTAATGAAAGATCAAAACTAGTATTAATTTTCTGATGACACTTTACAGCATTTAAAATTGCTTGAGAACATAAACCGTATAAATCGGCGCCAACAAATCCATGAGTAGCAAATGCGATATCTTGTATATCTTCTGAAGATAAATTGTTTGGTATCTTTAATAACATCTTTTTAAATATTTCTGCACGCATGCTGTAAGTAGGCACGTAAATTTCAAATTCTTTGTCTATTCTACCAGGTCTTCTAAGGGAACTATCTACAAGGTCTAATTTCGAAGTTGTGGCAAGTATCACTACATTATCATTTGCATTTTGTATGTCATCAAAGAGTGTAATTAATTGTGAAAGTACTCTTCTTTCATGATCTGTACTCGAAGTACTTCTTTTAGGGCATAAACTATCTATTTCTTCTATTAGAATAATACTTGGAGCTTTAGTTTTAGCTTCCACGAAAATATCTTGTAATTTTCTTTCTGTTTCGCCTAGTGATTTACTATAAATGTCGGTACTATAAATAGTGATAGAATTGATATCATATTCAGATATTAAAGCATTGGCAATAATAGATTTACCAACACCAGCAGTACCATATAATAATATTCCTTTACTAACATAAAAGTCTCCAATACTTTGGCATTGACCAAGCCCGATATCAAGAATATCCTTGATATTTTGTATTACATTATCGTATCCACCAACATCTTGTATCTTAAATTTAGATCTTTTGCAGTGTTTCTTTTCTTGCTCTTCACTTAAAATTGTCCACTTTGTGTTGTAAAGTGCTTTATAAAATTTGGGTTCATGTACTTCATCTGTCATTTTTAATTGTTTCAATTGATCAGATAAATTATTATTTTTATAATCATCTGATACAACTTTGACAATATTATAAATTAATGTTTTGCCATAGAAAGGCACACTGAATTTATTACCTATGGTAAATACCTTTTGTTCATTGTGATTCTTAATTATTATGTCAAGTTCCATGGTTGCTTCTTGTAATGTATGTTTCCCAACACTACGGATTACAAATTCCTTGGCGACATTAACACAGAAGTTAAATTTTTCGATCTTAACATGGCCTCGAAGGTTATTTAATTCTATTGCTATAAAAGATGTATAAATAATATAATTTTTATACACACTTGAGAAGATTCAATAAAAATTATTACCATGTTTTGTTAACGAAACACTTGTTAAACTTTTATCTTTAGTTGGCCATGCAGTTTTAACAGCTTTGTTGTCGCCAGCAGTCACAAGAACATAATCTCCTATTGCAATTTCACATAATTGTAAAGCAGACTGTGATATAAACGCCATGTCATCAAATGTCCTTACATGAATATTTTTTGGCTGTTCTATGCAAAAAACGTTTATATAAAAAAAGATACAAAAAAATGGTAAATGTAAAAGCATATATACCTAATGGATTATATGTTTCCATGGTACTATATAGTATACCACTATAAATGAAATCATGATTCCATGTTTTAAGATTTGGCGGACAATTAGTGCCATGCACTGTTACATCTTTTTGTGTTAAGATGCTCTGACATGTTACACATGTCATCCAAGGAGAAATACTTTTTCTCCCACTTTCTTTTGCCTTTGAAGTCATTCTGAAACAATAAAAAAATAATTCATAAAATATTCCTATTTTACTATATTTTAATGTAATTCTATGGGACATATTTATTATTTAAAATACTAAAATAAATAGATATTTAACTGAGAGAACATAACCTCTAAATTATATATAAGTATTTTGTATTAAATGGGATAAAAGAAAAAAACGTACCTTTTTATGAAATGTGTACGAATTTATACAATTATTTCTAAGTTGTGATTTTTAATATAAAAATTGGTATAAAACACAAAAATTCATAGAAATATTTGCAATGAAATAATCAAATATGATAGACGTGTCCGTTCAGAGTGCAACACATCTACAGAAATTCTAACTGAATAATGACAGTAGTTAACAAATATATTTATTTCATTCATATGTGAAAAGATATTATCTTAACATCTGAAATTTTTATTGTTTCTTAGACACAATTGAAAAAACGCTAGACCGTAGTTTTAAATTTCATAAATTAGCGCGCCAATAAATAAAACTGTTTTACTTGGAGGGAAGTAGTCTGTAGATCAAAAGGATAAAGAAAATATGTAATTAATAGACAATAAATAGACAATAAATTTCGAAACAATATAGAGTGTTTATGAAGATCTTCAAATACTAATAGAAAGGATACAGTCTCCTATCGAGCATAAAGAGTTCTACTTTGTGATAAAAAAAAAAAAAGATATACGAGGTAAAGGATGTAGGATCTTTCTTTTCTTAACCTCTCTTTCTTTTTAAGTTTCGCATATTATATTCCAATACATCGAGCTCATAAAATTCTCGTGGATGAATGTAAAAAATAAGGTAGGAACAGAATATCGCGAATACAGGTTTGAGAAGCCGAGGAGACTTATCGATTCAATCTCTCTCTCTCTCTATCTCTCTATCTCTCTCTCTCTCTCTCTCTCTAACCGTTGTAAAAAAAAAAATGAACAATTTAAAATAGATTGCAATTTATACAATTGCAGGTAATGCATTTGTTATTCCTTAAATGAGATTCAGATCCAGACGAGAGATGAATCAGATTCGGTGGAGCATAAAATCAGCAGCATATCAGGGATCAGGCGCATCAGGGATCGCGGCAGGCAAGAGGCAAAAGACCGATGGATGGACGGGCCAGCCGTCACGAAGCGGGCCGACGTTCCCGTACTAAACGAGATTAATAGAGATCCGCCTGTCAGCCGGACGCCTCTCCGTCTGAACGAGATCCAGCGGCTTTCAGACGGCCAGTCTTCTCGCAGATCGCAACCTGCGTGGGCAACAATCGATCGTGATCGATCGCACGGTGCGTCCTTTCTGGGGTACCGCTTTGCATGTCGTGTACGTGCGAGTCCAGGAGTATTCCGTGTATCACGAATCTTCTAGTCATCCGCGCACGGGCATATATAGAGTAATGAGATAATAACCACTGTGACAAATTAGCACAATTTTCGTTCATATGGTGCTCCGCACCTACGTTATTACTAAACGCTATTACGTATTTTTTTAAGCGGCAAACAACTCGTGCATCCTTGATACACGAACCCGTCGTTTCGTCACGGTAAATCGCATTCATCGATTTACGTCTGTCGCTATTTGTATCGATGCGAATACAAATTACGAGGGGTCGGTGGGCCATATTCGGTGGCTTCACTTTAATTTGCCTCGCCAATTTGCGATTAGGTAGGTACCGCATCGTACATTTTCGTTCTGATTCATCCTCTCTGCTCCCTTCTCTTTCTATTCAGTTTTCTGTTATGTGGTTTTATACACATTTTATATACATTTTATATTTCACTCAACTCGTACAATTTAAGTTTATTTAAATAGTCTTCAAACAAGTAGGGTAAAGTTGTCTAATGGGATCTCTCCTAATATGACAGCCCACCTTATTTTTGTTGTGGAACTATTGAATGTGATCGCGATGTTCTCTTGCACGTAACTAAGCATTTATCAGTTGTTTAGCAACTGTTGAATACCTCGAAGAAACGTATGTTAGTGAGTTGTTTTTAAAAAGATTTTTACTCAATTATAAATACCTTCAATAGGGTAAGTGTTTAATCATTTTCCTTAGGTATTATTATATAGTGCAGATAGTAAAGTTTCAAAATTTACTGATTATAATGTTGTAAAATAATGAATGGTTAATCTTTAAACAATTGTCATTGTTTTTTATTATGAGACAGATCTCATATAAGACATCCAATTATGTTCACTTTTCTAGGCGGATTCTGCTAAAAAACGGAAAGAATGGGATAAAGATCGGATAGTATTGGTAATTAAAGTTCGAAAAATTAATATGGGTTGTAAAAAGGCGGCGAAATTTTTCAATGTTCCTAACAATAACTTTGAAATGTTATATAAAAGATACCGATTTTTCTTCTGAAGAATTGATATCAAAGCCCTCTTGGTAGAAAGTCTGTGTTAAGCCAAGAAATCGGAACTATAAACTATCAAAAATTTCCATTGAGGAATATAAACGTTCTGGAAGTATTGCTATAATAACTAACGTCATCAAAGAAAAACTAAAAGAAAAGAGATAAAATCAAAGCATTAAACAAGAGAACAGCAACAATTAAAAAATCCATTAGAAGGAAACTTGTAAATGAAAGTTCAAATAATGAAAGTGATGAAGATATTGTTTTGGATGACGAAAACGATTATAAAGAAAATTACGATGCGGAATTTTCGCACAAATTTATATTCTTCCAATATATACTGTGAGCAATGAGTTCAGTGCACAGAATGTTACTGGTGGGCTAAGGGGCTGATGAGATGGATTGTATGTGCCAATGTGCAAAAAATAAAAAATTTGAAAAAACAAGTCTCAGTAAAAAAATAAGTGGGAATCCGTTTTTTTCTTGTCTGCGAATTTGCATAATTCTTGTTTTTAATTACTTTATAACACTTTAGAATTATTAATTGTAATAAAAATATACATGTACTCTGATGGATACTCTGTTTTCCGATATTACAAAGGAAGAGAGCATAGTTTTAAAATGTTTGAGATTTCAGAAATGTTCTTTTAGCCAAGAGTTATGTTTTTAAAAAATATCATGTATCAGATGACTTCACTCTATGATTCAGTTTGATATCAGTTTGGTATCCGCATCGAGGACATTGTTTCTGTTTCAGCTATCGGTGACCAGAATGAAGGCAACGAAGGCAGGACACAGAGGGAACATGTGTGCTGCGCCCGACACGAAAAAATGATCGATGTTGGATACGGTAAGCGGATTTAAGGAAAAATATGGATAACACGATGCACGGAGGATCGTGAGGTGACATAAAAGAGATTCGGCGTGAAATTGCGTAATTTTAAGCAACCTAAATGCAAGCTAAATGTAAATTATGTTCCCTCGTTTTTTCGTTCTTGCCGCCCCATATTCATGAGTGGTAAACGCTGGTGGCCTTGTTGCTAGATCTGATCCGGTAAATTAATATCGGGTGTTCAATCAATTGACGCCGATCGAGAGGATGAAGCATCCGGTGACGGTGTTCTCGTGGTGCCCATGATCAAAACATTTGATCGACTTATCATTGCCAACTATCGCATTAAAATAGCGCGAGGCCTAATTGAAATTGGTTCGAACTTATTATTCGATCTTATACCGTTGCTTGTAGGTGGGAACCGATCAAAGGACCGAGTTTGTGATTCGTCGAATGTTAACGCCCCTCGCGAGCGAATAATTAAGTTTTCGCCGAAGCGGTCAGTTCTGCGAAACGACCGAAGAAACATCATCTCCATCGAGATGTGATCAATTGTCAATTAAACGACAATTTTTTTGTTTGATCGACGTCTGGCATTCTCGGCCGACACTTCTTGAATCAACGTCGTAACCAGCACTCCTACCATTTTTCTGTCTTCGATTATCTGAAATGATCAAATCGAGCAATGGCTATTTAACCCGATTGGGCGCGAATCTGTGAAATACTCTGGTAGATCTCGAGGTAATGCCGTTTGTACGAAAGGTGGCAATGAAATAGCTAAAGGTCCAGGGTAATGTGAATCACCAAGGAGTCAACGCATTCCATGTCCCACGCGTTCGCGCAAAAAATAGCACGGTTACACTACAGACGATTTTTTTATATACATCTCGTTAACTTATTTAGCGCGATACTGGTCGTAAATTTTGTACGGTGGATCGCGTGCGAACGGCACAGCGCATACCGTCAACAACACCATCCTACGGCACTATTGAAATTTCATTGAACCTCGCCAGCCACACTTTATCGTTAATGCTAATCTTTTTCAGCCATATTTCATTCAGCCGTGTTTATTTCAACAGGAATATCGGGCGAAATTATCCAAATTGACGCGGGCCATTGTCGTAAACTATGTCCACGACACGTGCTGGACGATCCAGGAGACGCGAGTCGACCTACTGTACAGGTAAATCATTTTTCGTACGATTATTTCTGCCTTTAAACATTTCGGTTTAATAAAGGAACGCAGGGTTACGGAGGCACATAGATGTGTGTGTAACGCGTGACTCATGGCCGCAGGATGCACCTGGTGCAAAAAACTTTTTGGTTGATGCCCGCCTTAGCGCATCGAGTTTACAACAAAAAGACACACAGCCATCGTGGAGTTTATCGAACCGGTCGTGAAATTGTTGAATTCGTCGACCTGGAATCTTTTCAAATTCATTGTCACGAACATGCTTATTTTTACGATCAAGACCCTTTGAGTTATAATATCGAGTTACACTTGCGACGTTTCTTGGAATTGTGGTTTCGATTTGAAATGAATTTTCAATTTAATTCTTCAAACTGAATTTGGTTAATAAATACTAAATTCTATATAATGTTTTCAATAATGCTTTGCATTGAAGACTGAGAAGAAAATAGTAAGTGAAGGGATTGAAAGAAAAGAAAACGATTTCAGAATTCACAGAAATTTTGAAAAAAGCGTTGAAAAGCGTTGGAAAGTTTCACTAAAACAAGCCGGTGTATAGCGAAAGGATCGATCTCGCAGTAAGCTCGAAAAACTGAGAGTGGACGTCGAGGAATTCTGTTCGAATAGTGGGACGGCGTGTCAAAGAAAAAACAACGGACCAGACGAAAAGATCAAATTCGCAAATAAAAGCAGAAAAAAGAATTAACGCGATATATACGTTGCCATGGCAGGTTACCTTATGCCAAGGGCTATACGAAGGGCGAAAAAGGCAGGAACGTCATGTAGATTTATGACGCATGGGATCGACCAATCCGCCAGCTGGAATGCGGCCACGCAGCATCGCGCGATTGTACGATCTTCGCGACTTTTACGGCCCGTATTGAGAATCGTCTATCTTCGTCGATGATCATCGTATCCTTTTTATACATACATACGTACGTACCTTGCACTAATCCTATTTTCCAAAATTCATCGACAATCATATCGCGGTTAAGAGGTCGTCACGTGCTTTCACTTCGTTCGTGTACGAATTGCCGGACTATCGAGTCCACGATAGAACTGCAGTGGACTCTAATTGGAATGGTAAATGAAACATGCCGTAATAAGTACAATTCGAGAACGACCGTTCTCTCGAGGAGGAAGCTATTTTCGTCACTTGATTCAACCAAATCGGTGGTTTATGATCTTGCAACACCCACACTGCGGGAATGAAACAGGCTTGAGCAGAAAAAAAAAAAAATGTTGCACGCGATATGCAGAAAGTGGAGGTTGTGTCGTACGTCCTTGGAAGGTCGCATCGTGCCAGGTCACCGCTCCGGCGCCAGCTTGGCCAGCTACTAAATCCCGAATCACGTTCCTGGGATCTCGAGGATGGATGTATCTGGGAACAGAATTTATTAGAAAATATTCTTAGCCAGAAATATCACCAGGGGGATAAACGAGAGAGAAGAAAAGGGGATAAAAGCGCACCGATGCCTTTGATCGGACAAAGATAACGGTCGGTGTTATCCCGCAGCGAGAATAATTAAATGGCCCGCGTGCCACGAAAGAAATCGAGTACCAAAGAAAACGTCCGAACGAGATAACGAGGCGCACGGTATGAGAGTATTATGAATTCCTCCGTGGATACTATCGATACTTTCTCGGTAAATGTACGACGAAATAAAGTACGAATTCTGTGAAGTCGCGTGCTTGCTTTTGCTCATTCAGCATATCTGTATCGATAAAGTGTTTCGCTGTGTGATACATGGCCAGCCATTCCGTGTTCTTCCTCCTTACCTTTTTAGCAATATCTTAGATCCCATCCGATTGAAATATCCAAGTTTCCGTTTTCACCGTATTCAATGGAATTCATCTTTTCTCGTTTCCCTCAGAGATGTTTCCCAGAATCGCATTGTCGTCCAAACGCGGCGAAACTAGAGAGGGTATCGACAATCCAAGGGGTTCGCGTGATCGAAGTCACAGAAGCTTGCGAATGCACGCCGGATTCGTCCTGTCGGCGAGAATCCTTCACGCATCTCGTCCATTCTGGCACTCCTCATCAGGCCGTGATGGACGTCGGAGTATGTATGGGTCACTGTGCTAAAGGTATCTAATTTTCTTTCGCTCGATATATCATTTGCTCGTAGTCCTCTTATCGATAATCGTCGACGTGCCTTTTAAAAGATCTCGGGTGCAAGCCGGTGAGAAACAGCACGGTTAGCATCAAAGGACCGAATGGTATGTCAGATCTCTTACACTTGCGATAGATGTTGTAATTTCAATCGGGATAGGTACGTTTATCGTGTTATATTTCAGGAGACGAAGTGTATCAAGTGATTGAGAAATGTGGCTGTGCTGGAACATGTCACAAAATGGATCACATGGAGACCGTTCTAGATTTTAGCGAGGTCGAAATTAAGGATGGCACGAACACAACGGACGTTAGGCCAGTCGTTCGGGTAAATTTTCTGTTCCCACACCATTTGAGACTGCCACTATGATCATGTTAGAATTTATCGTTGTCTTCGCATTTGCACAAATAGCAAATTAACGTTGGACAATGTGTTGGGACGTGTCCAGGGAATGAGACGGAAATGTGTCTTTTGAGGGACAAAAAAGAACCATCGAGATGCTTGGCCGCCTTGTATTCAAAGCAACATACTTGTACACCAGCTAGATTCAAAGTTCACGAATACAGGTATTCGGGAATGAAGATTAATCAAATCTGCGGTTAAACGCTCAGTGAGATATTTTCGTTTCTTTTTTTTTTTTTTTTTCAGGACTCGTCGTGGATCGAAGAGAGAAATTATTCAAATTACACAGTGCGCCTGCGTCTGAATAAAATAGAGAAGATCGAGAGAGATCTATTGAAATCAACGGACCAATAAAACAGACTTATAGAGATATTTAGGTTACTTTATGCGTCGCGTAAATACAAAGTACCATTTCGATGTTCCTACATGCACCGTGTATTGGTATGACAAATAAATACAATGACTTTCTAGAAAACGTCAACCGCTCTGAAACTAGTCCATGTCCATCGCGTTCTATCCGTTTCGTTTGCTAATGTCAATTGTCGTATTAAATGATTCTGCAATTTTCATGGCAATCGGATTAATTTTTTAAGGAACGTTTAACAAGTTGGAATTAGTTCCAGTTACGCGATTAATCCCCTCTCCATGACGGAAGATGACAAAAGTGGGATTACATTTGGTAAGGCGCAATAAAATGGTATCTTTCGCGAATATGGCACTAGCCAACATTTGTACTTACAACTATTCTCTACGTCGTTTCCGTTCACGTACGAATAATGCAACGAGAAGAACGAGGTCGAAGTCGGTGCCCGACGTTCGAACGGAGGCGAAAATACACGCTGACACCCTCGCGAGATCCGTCATCGTCCTCGTAGGAAAACAACCGATTATTCGCGATATCTAAATATTGCTGCGTGGAGCCACATGACTCGCCACTCACGAATCTACGGAATTTAGGAAGCACGAGCTTTTTTTAATAGATCCACGATGTCATCATCCCGTTGCTCGTACGTTTCGATCTTCTTCTCGGAACGCCATCGCTTATAATCGATCCTTACCTTGTCTTCATTTCTCTATCTATTCTTTTTTTAATCACGCAGTGTCATTTTATTTCCAGAGAGATGCAAAATTTCTCGTCGAAAAGCACACAAGGCGTACAATTTTTTAAAAAAGAATCTCCTCCGCAAGAGAATTAAGAGAGAAACGCGATGCGTGGTCGATGTGTCCAGGACGATGGAAGGTAGCCTAGGATGGCTTAATAAGAAACAAATGGGGAGAGAAAGGAAAACCGCGTCGTCGAGTTGCGTTGAATCGCGTCAAGTCGCGTAGCGTCGCGTCGGTGTCCCGTGAGAGAAGCCGATGTCGCTGCGGGGAGCAATGCGGGGGAGGCAACTCCCGGCATAGCATAAAGGTGACTCCTCGCAGCCAAGATCTCCCATATGCTACTTAGCGTTCCGTTCGGTTCGGCAAACCTCCTGCCCGCTAAGAAGCGTTTGTCACAGACTTAACGCAGATATTCAGTCGATGTTCAACCGCTGTCATCGGGCCGTTCTTTGAGCGAGTCTGCAGAGATTACGCGTTGCGAGCCTATTTTCGGAACTGTTTTCCACACAGGAGAATGATGTCGAGTGACGTACGATTTTCCCTTTTGGCGATACTCTTTCTATCGTGCACTTTCAACGTGCACGCACACCCAAGTCGCTTTACCGAAGATGATAATACCAGCGTGGAGGAATTTGTCAATCCGTGGTCCTTGGATGGCTTGAGCGAAGGGAGCGAGCACGACGCTAATCGGGACGAGGCTTTAGAAAAACTGCAACAGGTCCGTCTCCAGATAATTGTGTCGTATAACTTGCTGTTTGTGAGAACTTGGTGAGAACGGAACTCTCATTTCCGAATGATTAGAAATAAGAGTGAAACGACTAAGTAATATTTGACTCGCGGAGGAAGCACGTTTGAAACGACTATGTTAACTAGACGATGAAATCGTTGCAGGTTCTTGGTATTCGGAGTCATGGTGAGAAAACAGGACGTCGTAAAGTGCCGCCGCAATTTATGGTGGAACTGTATAATAATGTCGCCGATCCCAGCGGTGTAACGCGAGGTAAAAATCCATACAATGCCAAGGTTGTTCGCAGCTTCATCGAAAGAGGTAAACGCGACCCTGTAACATAACTCCAGCCAAAAGTGAAATTTTACTAAAAGCGAAAACTTTTCACACAGATACCACCGTGTCGCGATTATACTTCTTCAATATCACGGGCTTAGAAGTGAACGAATCGGTTTTGGAGGCGGAGCTCCATCTCTATCGAAAAAGGACACCTTTGAAAATAATGCATCCGTCCATTTTAGCTTCTCCCTACTACTTGGTAAGTAGACGCACGTCAATCGTAATTTGTTGACTTTTTAAAGGATTCTGTTGACGAGGTATATATCTTACCTTAGATAAGAGTGTATCAAGTCTTGGATGAAAAAAGTTTAGAAGTTCCCGACCTTCACAGACTGTTGAACGTTCGGTATGTCGGAGCGCATGCATCTGGTTGGCAGGCAAGTTTCAGAATTTTGGAATTGAAAAAAGGAGAGAAATGCTAAATTTCCGGCCGTGTTAAATAATTTATTTTTACCATCAGATATTTAATGTGAAACACGCTGTTCTTGCCTGGTTAACCGGGGAACCGAATCTTGGACTTTTGGTGACCGCTTCTACCGTGTTCGAGGATCAAGTGGTGGTGGAGTTTTCACGACGAAACGAGTATCATCATAGCAAACAGCCCATTTTAGTACTATTCGACGACGACGGGAAAAAACACCGAGACGATCGTAATAACAACGAGATTGAAGAAACGTCGCGCGAGGACGAGGACGAGAATGACTTGAAGAATGACTACAGTGATAAAAATGTCGAGAAACGTGATCGGGGAAAAGGTCAGCCGGAAGAGGCTCGATGGGAGAACGAAAATAAATCTGAATTCTTCCAAAGAAAGAAGAGAACGGGAATAGTTGGGCGTGATGTAGTGACTCAAGCAATTCGAGGGACTCGAGATCTCGCAGAAGAATCGTCCGGACGACATCGGAGAGAAACCATTTTCTATCCGAGAAAGTCGCACGTTTTAACGTCGACAGGCGTGTACCAGCGAGCGATGCGCCGCGAAAGAATAGGAGAAATAGTTCGTCAGAGGTCGTTATCGAACGAAAATGTTCGCGAGAAACGATCGACTAGAAGTCACGCGTCTGTCCAACAAAATGTCACCGAATGCACGAGGCACGAGCTCTACGTCGATTTCAAGGAAATCGGTCTCTCCTCTTCTATCATCGCTCCGCTTGGTTATTCAGCCTATCATTGCAAAGGTATCTGCGAATCGCCGTTGAGTCAAGATCAACAACCGACAAATCACGCGACTGTTCAGGGAATCGTTCATAAAATGGGATTGGTGAAAGGGGTCGAGAGACCTTGCTGCGTACCAACGAAACTATTGGGCACGACCATTCTGTTCTTTGATGACAACGAGAACGTGGTCCTGAAAGTTTATCAAGACATGATCGCAGATCGTTGCGGATGTCGTTAAGGACATTTCATCGTTTCTTTTTTTCTTTTTTCTTCTCTTTAGGAAGAAAGAAGCGAATCAAGCATCAACATATGTCTCAATGATGATTGAAAAGGGGAGAATAAATGTGTGTGTGAGAAAAAAGAAGAAACTGGAAGTGTATGCGTGCGAGAGAGAGAGAGAGAGAGAGAGCAAAAGTAAGAGCGGCAGAATATATATATCAGGTAAAAATGATTTTTACACACTAGCACGAGAGTCATTCCTAGAGATTTATCTGAAGATCGATGTCCTAACATTGTACATAAGAACATTCCTAAATTCGCGTAGGGTTATACGTATCAATGATTAGCATGTCTACATCGTATCCTATATTGTCATTAAATTATTATTATAATCACGTCGTCTCGATCATTGTATATACTACTGTGTCGTAGAACGTTAGAATTATTTATATTTTAATTATAACAAATAAAACTATTGTAGTATTTAAGCTATTGAACCATTTTTACGCGTAATAACTTGCTCCTTCTCATACTCCCATCATGGTCGAACGAGATTTATGCTGTGAGTTGTAGGATGCTATTGGGTTCCGTTGAAATACGTTTGAAATTATTAATTTTAATAAATCGCGTGTCACTCCAGAATTGGGAGAAATTCCGTCGCAAAGAAATTTTGGATGAGCAACGAAATCGAGGCGTAAACTTTAAGAGCAAGCCAATAAAATAAACGTGACGGTGACAGTGCTCGAGACGATGACTTTGGCGCCACTGGATCCAGAAAAATATTTGTGGAATGACAATACTTCCGGTATTAAGTGCCGCTTTTTTTTTTTACCTATTCTCATAACCAGGTATCAGCAGCGTACGACAGTAGCAGACGATTAAATAAATAAACGACATCGACGTGAAATCGGATGGCGCACTGAACTACCGAGAAATTTTTCGCTAATTTTCGCCAATGAATATGTCGACGATTCATCCTTTCGCTTTTTCTTCGTTTCTTTGTTCGTAACAATGTTTCGCTCCATTGCTGCATTCATTCATTCACGTGTCAAGAACGTAAACAGATTAGTTTAATGACCTGGAATCATGGTGGAATCGTGGATCGTAGTTCGGAGTTCACGTGGAACACAGCGTGAAACGTGAGAAATTAAACGAAAATTACGCACGGTTAGATAATCTCCATTTGATCGTCTTCCTCGCCGCCACTATCTGTCTTCCTGTTTTCTAGTTAGCTGCCTTTGGAATCGCACGCCTCCCACTGATCCGACCAATTTGTCCGAGATAATAATTTTAGCTTTCTCATCCTTTGGTTCTACACGCGATGGTTCATCACGGCGAAACACGAGCAAAAGGTAGAGGCGAATATTCATACGAAAATACTGGGACGATAAATAAGATGATCAACGACGAAAGCGCTACACTTTTGACGCCAGGATTTGCATATTTGCGAGCGACCGCTCGTTCGCGTGCCGTCGTACTGCATTCCGCGTGCGTGCATCTCCAGTTATATTTAATGCACGGCGGATGTATTTTTGAATCTGCCCACCTAAAAATAGCCAGGACGCGTTCTATTGCATTCCACACGCTGTACATATTTAAATTTCTGATATCGCGATACGTGTCATTTAATCAAGGATGATGCTCGCGACAATCGAGGAATTCCTTGCTTCTACACAATTATCAAGTCTTTCACAGAAGACCGCAAACCGAATGGAAAATTGCGACAATGCGAGGATTCGCATTCCCTTCCAATCCTATGCGCGCGTACACGCCGCAAAAGAGAAACAATTGGAATCTCATGGGAACGTAGCTGTTGAAAGAATTACAGAAATACGTTCAAGAATTGGAGGGCTATCGGGTTAGAGGAGGGTGGCTAGAGGAACTGTAGTACAAACGAGGGAAGTAGAGAGAAGAGAACGAAACAAAATCGGTGTGACAGAGAAAAGGAAAAGCGATAGGGCGGGAACTGCCGCTAAGTAAGAAACCCTAAGTCGTAAACCGTACAACACACAGCCTGTACAATGACGTAGTGTTCTGTCATCCGGCGCGCAACCTCTCCAGCCTCTCCACTACCACTGCTTGGCCATTATAGTGAGGACAGAACCTCACAACTATACATATAGTGGAAGGCCTTTGAACAGTGCGCGCCTTGTGTCTTGTGTAAGAGCTGTGTTTCTTCCTTTCCGTCGCCTCTGCCTTTGTCGTTCTCTCGTCGTTCACTCCTTTCCCCGCTTTCGTTGACGCGATTGACGCACCGCTTTTTCATCAATCGGTAGTCTTCAGTTGCGCGTCTACCACCTTGCCGATTTTCGCATTGATCGATGGTGAAAATCGGCGGCTACCACACAGGGATGAAACACGCCGAACGCATACACCAATTTCGTGAAAATCTTCTCGGTCGGATAATACGCGTAAAGTAAAACAACATCGTAATTCCATACGATTAACTATTAAACAGCAAGAAGACATTATGAAGAATCAATGGTAAACATGACTGTCTCAGTCTTTGTATATTGGGTACTTGTTTTCCAATTGGTATTAATTGTATCGATCGTAAGCACGGGAAATCGTCAAGTAAGTATCACATTGCCGCTTTAAATATCACTGTACGAATGTTATTATAAATACTCGTTTGAATCACGTTTCTATTTAATGGAAAGGTGAATCGTTTCTTCTTCTTCTTTTTTTTTTTTTTTTTTTTTTTTTCGACGAACGAAA